GCCAACAGTAACAGGCTACACAAAAGATCCCTCAGGAGAAGAAGTAAAGCGGTCCAACAGGAACAGAGGAAGCTGCTCTGAGCAGGACTGAAAGGACATACAACAGAGAGCCACAAAGGACCCCTTTTGCAAAGAAGCATGGACACCAATGCAAATGCCCGACCAAAAAGATAACATTCTCCTCTAATGTATATACACATACTAAAGCACATTTAGACACTGGTAGTGTAATTGACAGGTGTTTTGGATGTTTGAGTGTCACTCTGCTCCTTCTGAAGGCAGTTTCCTCTTCGTATTTATAGCATCTAATTTATAGCTTTGATCCAGTATTCTCCAACATCATCTTAATGCACAAGTTGAAATTTTCTGCAATCCCTTACCAGCCCTGCACACGAGGTGAGGTCGATTAAACACTGTCAAACAGTGAATGAAGAGTGACACACACAACGTCCAAAACTAAAAAAGTGTTTTCAATTGCAGCTGGATTCTCTGACACATTGTTACATATACTTTAGCTATTTTTAGGGTATTTTTCTAGATCAGTGTTTTTAGCATATCTTTCTCTTTCTTTTATTGGGTCGTAGAACTACAACTGTGTGCTTCAGACTGGTGAGAAAGAAAATAACTGTATCTTACATTGCAGGTCCAGACAATGATTCTCAAACTTTTTGGTTGTGATTCCTGAAATGACAGCGATGAGTTTTGCTTTACTTGAATCATCACGAGTCTCTGATCCTTACAGCAACTCATGATTGTATTAAAGCACAGTCACAGCAGAGAAAAAGTAAATACAAAATATATTGGAGTGGTAGAAATTGATTTTTTAAAAACCATAAACTATTGTTCAGGAGACACATTTTGATTTTGTCACAACTTCAGGTTTGAGAACCACTGTGCTTTGACACTAACACACCAGTATCAGACATACTGTCATGATTGTGCTGTTCCATTGTATGATGAATAAAAAGATCAAGACGTGATTAAAGTCACTGCAACAAACCTGGAGTGAAACAGTCAGCACTCATGCACTTTTGGGATTTATCTCTCACTTCTGTGCTAATCATTTGAATCCAGTGCACCTTAAATAGTTACAAAAATAAATAAATAAATAAATCACCTGAACCTGACACATGGCAAGGAAACTATACTAAGTTAAGTAAGATCTATAGTAGGACACTGAACTGGTGCAAAACTCCACCTCATTAGGTCGTTTAATGTTGCAAATTGTTTCATTTTTATATTTGCAACTTCTCAAGAGTAATCCATCACCTCCGTCAGCACTGTCTGATGTGAGAATCATATTTTTATAAGATTCAGGGTTTGCAGAATAATGAATATCCATCCATCCATTTTCTGTACCCCTTATCCACTGAGGGTCACAGAGGGGAGCTGGAGCCAATCCCAGCTCACACTGAATGAGAGGTGGGGTGCACCCAGGACATGTCGTCTCACAGAGCGTGAATGAGGAATTTCTCACTGTAAATATTCTCACAACTTTCTGAACAGCAGGATCTGTTGATAACTTACACAGAGCAAACAGTTTAATTCATTAATTCATCATATGCCTAATTGTTGATTTGTTAGATAAATAAATATAAAATGGACATGACATGTGACGACACAACTGGATTTTATATTTAAGCCTTATACATCTTTGTGGAGGTTTCTTGCTGTGTTTGATGTAACTGATCGACAGAAATGTACTTGACAAATGACATTTTAGGCAAAAGGAGCTGTGAAAGCGGTGGTGTGTGTTTAAAATGATGACAAAGGAGATGGAGAAAGGGCTTAGAGGAGGAAGAGGAGGTTATAAAATGTTGACCATGACCTTTCAAAGGTCAAGATTAGCTTCAACTCGGAGAGCAGACACTCGTGTCCATGTCTGACTTCTTACAGACCAACTCACACTGAAACAGCAACACACACTCGTAATTCAGTGAACATACAACCAACCGTTGACTTAAATGAGTGAATCTGATCATTTGCCACAAAGCAAAATGTAATTGTTGCTCCAATTTTTTTTTTAAACTTTTTTGCAAATAAATGAATGAATAAATAAATCAAAGTGCTGAATTTTAGACATAATGTGCTCAAATTTCAGCACAGAGTCAACATGTGGCGTAACGGTGTGAAAATCAGTAAGTTAGAATATGGGATCTCCTGATTCTTCAACAAACTGAAATGCTGTTTAACATAAAACCCTAGAACGTGTGTAATGTCACCTCTGTTGTGATTTTGTTCTGATCCCGAATCCTGATGTGAACATACAGTATACATGTACTGTGCTGTGCCAAATAAAACTTGGAATCATCTGTCTCTGAAATTATTGTCCTATAGTGAACAAGACTATAACTCATCACTCCTTAGCCACTTGGTATAAAGCATTACAGTGTGATATATAACCTAACATATGGACATCAAATCTTTCTCAGCTCTCTGGAAAAACCATCTTTGCTTGGAGCAGTTTAATTTGAGGCAAAGTCTCCGAGCCAGAGGAACAAACCTGGTATTTAGTTCGTTTTTTACCTTCGTGTGGAGCTCAGCCATGAAAAAACACACAGTAAATAGCGTCTTTATCAGCCTCTACAGCAACTACCTTCATCACTACACTCTGTGTGTTTGTGTGTGTGTGTGTGTGTGTGTGTGTGGTAGAGCAGCCCTGCATGTATATTAGTACATATGTGGTCTGGTATGTACATACATCTTTGTGGTGTGTTTGTGCAGTCAAAATGTACATTCCTCTGCATATTAATCCAATGTGTATGTGGCAGTGTGTGTAGGACTGTAAATCTCTGTGTGTGTTAATGTGTGTGTCCACTCATGTTTGGCCAACAGGTGTAAATAGGATGTGTTTATAAAACCTGCTGGCCATGTAATCACTGGGACTTCTGTTTGTATGCGGATGCAGGAGGGCGTAGCGACGTGTTTGGCCCCACTCATCTGAAAGTGCAGTGCACCCAGACAGAGTGGCGTGTGTTAGCTTTACATACAGTGGCTGTTCTGTGTGGGTCATTCACCCATCTCACCTCTCTGCCCTGGCATTCCTGTCTGAACAGTGGGCGTGATTGTACCAACTTGTGAGCACAGGTCCTTCAGCGGTGATTCAGAGATGCATTTATTAAATCTGATAAAAGAATTTCAGGGGTGAAAAAGTTTTATGGTCATATCATCTATTTAATCAATGGCCATTAGTGATGTTTTATGACCCAATAATAATGTCTGATGACTTGGTCAAAATGAATATTTCAGCAAGTCCTGATGACCATGTCATGTAGTGTGGACATAAATGAACGGCAGAGGAATACGTTTTAAGATGAAAGGGTTTTTATTTGTATCTTTGGATAGTTTTGTTTTTTTTCCGAGTAGGTGCTCTAATTTACCTTCATATAAAGATTTTCACTTTTCAAATCCTTTAGTCGTGGTCTGGTTGACCCACACCTGAGTTTGGCTCAGTTATTAAAAAAAACAAAACAATTGTGGCCAAAATAACCCATTGTTCACTTAAACTGTATAATCCACTCAGTAGTTTGCTCATTGCTGAGCAGTATAGGGTAACTTAAGATTTCTTAATTTGTATCATCAAGTGCAGAGTCGCTAACCAGATAAAATGTTGGACAGTAAATTTAGTGCATTATAGGTCATGTTCAACATGTCAAGAAAGTAAAACTTGCTTGAGTACACTTAAGAACAAGTTGTACTTTAATATTTACATTTTCATTACTTATATATTTACTTTCCATTAATTCCCTTCTACAGTTCAGAGGCAGATATAGTACTTTTACTCTACTACACAAGTAGTGGGGTAGGGTAAGTAAGTTGTTTCTGAAACATTTATCTAATTTGTTGAATTCCTCTTTACATCCTAGTATCCATCAGGAAAGAAAACATGGTGTCGGTAGCCCTTGTGGGAAAATGAAATGATTGACTGGCGTACCTGGCTGTGACTCACTGACTTGTCTGTGTGCACGTGTGCACCCTGTCCCTGCTCTTATTGCACATGACCAAAGTCATAGACCACTGAAGCAGAGACGATAGCCGGAAGTTAGCGAGCAAGTCACAGAGAGGTCTTCTGGCAGTTGTCACAGTCAAGAGGGTCAATAGGAGGGGCTGGGATGTCTCAATACATTTGCTTGCTTTAGCTTTTCCAGGATTACCAACCCTAGCTTTATTTAAGTAGCTGTGGTCACTGTAGAGATTCAAATTTTGTATAAAAACCAAAACATTTAAAATTAAAGCAGTGTTTCTTAAACTCTTTGGCTTTTGGACCCTTATACAAGTGTAGGTGAGTCTCCATGTCATATTTCTAATAATATATAAGATCAATATTACTATATTAGTAATATACTCACCCCCAACCCGTATCTCTACCTGTATTCATTTTAAAGGCCAATGGGCATGTTTATAGTGATGTTAACAAGCTACAGAGGGAATTTTAAAAACATGACCTGATGCCCTGTGTATTAATAAATCTGTTGTGAGTGTGTCCCTCCTGGGGGATGCAGTTTGCACTCACCCATAGCCACAAACATTGACTGGTCTATAGGAACCTTTGCGTTCCTTTATAAAAGGTTCCCAGAATGTTCTGGATACTTTGGGTTGAAATGCATCAATAGACAGTTTATAAGATGGACAACACACCAGCTCCAAAAAGTGAAGGCAAATCATCCACCTAGTGGCTCGTTGCAGTATAGGTCAATGTCGGTGAAAATGACATGGGTCTACAAGTATACATGTCAAATAAACTTTGATGGTTTTGATGGTTTCTGTAATTTTCAGTAGCTCTTATGCTCTTAGTTCTTATTATACTACTGTTTGTGGTTTTGTCTGGTAAATTTGGTTTAAATTAGTTTAGATAATTGATGATATAAAAACATTAAGATTGACAGCTGAGACTGACTTGCAATTGGTTGAGCACATATAAGTGGGACATCAATACTGTGGTGCTACTCTACCATCATTTATCTAACAAATGCATCTCATATAAAATTTCATTTCATTCATTTCAGACTGTGTTTTTATTGATCTGTAGAAAATAGTACAAATGTCTGGACATACAGTATTTAATGAAAAACCCCAAAAGGTACTTGCATGGTAGGCAATGCTATTTCTTCTTCCACAATGGATGCAAACAAGGTAGTTTAAATATTACAACAATACACTCATAACTTCATCATCACAGAGTACTACTCTTAATCATCCTCAGAAAAATGAAAAAGAGATGGATTATACTTTATGAACTCAGATACGCAAACATTTAAGATGAACAGACTCAGAGACAGAGAGAGTGGTGAACTATAGTTAGTGAGTGTGCAATCATGGACCAAGACTAAAGCTCTGAAACAAAAATTATGAAAGACACTCTCCACTCCCTTGACCATAAAGGTGCCCTTTGGCGAGGCACTTAACCCAAAAGTCTGCAGATGTAGTACCAAGGTTGAAAGTGTTATTGTGTTACTGTTCGACTCCAGTGTTCTGGAGGGCACAGCTGGAAAATACAAGAGAATGTTCTTGTTGAATAAAGACAGGGTATGTGAAGGACTGAGGTGTGGTTGGAGAGTGGTTTTTATTGGAATACCTTCCCTGAGTGTGAAATCAATCATATGTGGATTAAAGTCAGTGCTGGTGGATGAGAAAAGTAAATGGTTTGTATTTATACTGGCTAACTGCTAATTTGCAAAAGTCAAAGCTGTTCAGCCATATATCAAAATGGTTGCAAAAAAAAAAAGATTTGATTTGATCTGTGAGGGGTATTCGCAGGCAAAATAACTGAAGACAAAAAGCAAACCATGTTTCTGCAGATCGTTGTAGTAGTTGAGACATGTGGTTGAGACTATATGGCCAATAGTATGTGGACATCCTTGTCCCTGTATTTTTTGTCGGGCTGTTGTCTTTGTCAAGATTAGTCCTCTTCGATTGATTTCAGGGAAACCTTAATGCTAACAATACGTCATTTGGTCAGTAGTGTGTTGCTTATGGCAAAAATTTGGGAAAGGTCCTTTTCAGTTTTGACATGAAAATACACCTTGTACAGAAAAGATTCACGAAGTAATGGTTTGACTTGACTTGCCTGCACAGAAACCTGACCTCAGTCTCATCCAACACCTTTGGGATGAACTGAAATGCTGATTTTGAGCTAGGATTTATCACAGAATCTAAGTAATGCTTTTGACCGGAGCAAGAAAATCCCTGTAGCCTATTAATGGCCTCTAGTTTATGAATTTGATATTCAGCTATTACACGTGTGTGTCCACATACTTCTGGCCATATAGTGTGGCCATGCCAAAGCACGAGTGCAAAAACAGTTGTTAACCTTAAGTTCAATACTGAGACATGAGTTTCAGTCGAATAAAGGTGGAGAGTGATTAACCCAAATGGTTTCACTTTAAAACAGCTTAGAAATGAACATACTGGCTAACTGCTAATTTGCATCCAGGCTATAGTAAATGCTAACTCCCCGAGCAGAGCTTTAAACCAGTGTGCTGTAAGAATGGTTTGTTGTGTCTCATATTGAGTCAGAGCATCTACCGATAACAGTAGACACCAAACTTAAGGTACAGAGGGGGGAACCCGAAACTACGCACCCCTGGTTCAGTCGGGCCACAGTTAGCCCGGGGTTTTGTGATAGGATAACGCACACTCCCGTCAGCCAACCAGCCAGCATCGCAGCGGTCAAACCCCATCAGCCTCCAGGCGGCGTAGAGCTGGCCCACTTTGGCAATCTGGCTTCCATCAATGGCACATGCCTGGACAGCCTCAGTGAAGTTAAGCTTGGTCAGGTGCTTTAAGAAGTATACACCTCCTAAAGCAGGAGAGAACTATAAATGAAAACACTGTATTGTCACATTTAGGTTTTAAACCTTCACAAATCTGTATACTGACCCTTGACAGAGGCGGAGAAGCAGAAAGCATCATAGCTGTGGAAGAGGCGATGGCGTTGACCGTAGCTACGCAAACCAGGAGCTAAGTCAATGCCCCCGCAGCCATCTCGTGGGACTGTGATTGGATACTGCACTGTACCATCAGCCAACCAGCCGGCGTTACACCAGTCTAGTCCCTCTTCCCACGCCAAGAAGAGCTGCTCAAATGTAGCTAGAGTGGCATCCTGATCCTGGCAAGCTTGTTGGGCCCCAAAGAAGTTAAAATGGTAGCGTCCTTTCTGAGAGTAGTAGGGAAACACCACACCTGTACATAGAGGAAAAGTGTTTATGACAGTTTGTATAGTCACACATTTTAATATAGTCCAATACATCAGATCTGTCTAATGTTGCATCTCCAGTCTGAATGTGAAGGTGGATGCTAATTGAATGCTGAATGGTATAAATATACTTTTCATATTTGTTTTGTACATGGTGGGACTAGTGTTGGCATGCAGTACATTAATATAAAGAATGATATGGTATGGTGAGTTGTACACATTGACATTAAATCCACAATAAGTGATTTTTTAGCTACTTTTAGGGCAGCAAAAGACTTGAGGGTACAACAACATTTTATTAGCTTTTGAGTAGATATTTCAAACCAATCGGAGAACTGTTGCCTAGTTACACATCAACGATCTGTAATGTAACATCATAATTTAATTTAAATCATGTTTGTATCATCATCTGGTTCATAAAAGTCCAAAATTCAGTTGTGATTTACTGTAGCTCTGTTTTTGATTTCTTCCAACTCCCGAGGGGAATATGTGGCTCCTTAGCTGCTAAATGCTCCACTATGTTCACCAGCTACTCACTAACAATATCTGCTCTTTTTAGCTGAGCATTAACATGATGTGCAATCAGTTTATCACTGACTTTGTTTGATTAAAACAGCTTTCATTTGATGAAGGAAATTCTGTTGACATAGTGAGATCAAACAATTCAGTAAGAGTTTAATTCAAGGGGTTTAAAATGCTCTGAGGAGATTCGGGTCTTGGTTCTTGCTCACTTCCAAACTGAACGTAGTCTCTGGTCTCAATTTTCTGGATTAAAAAGCACAGCAACCATAAGACACCAGATGCTTTATATTACCTATTGTGGTGTCAACACCAGAGTTCAGCAGCAGTTTTCTGTCAGTTTAACTCACTGTGGATTTATCAGACTGTTCAAATGTCTTTCTACTTAAAGGTGTCTTGGTGAGATTCTGACCACTGGTGGTGCTAAAGAGCAATGTTTTGGGGAGTGGGTGTTACTTAGGTAGGGAGGAAGCAAACGGAAATAATTATAGTATTAGAAAAGGCTCGTGCAGGATTCACTCCGGAACCACCGGGCACCTATTGAAAGATTGACAAAAACTACCCAGGGCCACTGAAGAGGCTATCTGACTAAACGGACACTCTGGAAGAAGAAGCAGGAGCCATGTCTGTGGACAGCTGCTAAGGATTGTTTTGTTCCTTAAGAAATTAACTCATAAAGAGTGGATCAGTTTCACAGGATCTCTCTGAAGTGAAAATATTGTGGTCCTTCTGTTCCAAAACATTGACATTTAATCTACTCTTATCTACTAGTGTTTCTCACCTCGCAGCTCCAGCTCCACAGTCACACTCTCATCTTCCAGGCCGTCAATCACCTCACAACGATATCTTCCTGTATCATTGAGCTGCAGCTCATTGATCACAAGAGACATGTCCCCTGGTGCTGAGCGCCTCAGACGCACGCGGCCCTGGAAGTTGCCATAGCTGCGGTGGCGGCTGCCCATGGCAACCATGACCTCAGTTTCGCTGGTGAGGGCTTCGGGGGAAGCAGGTGCAGTGATGGTGTTGGCAGGCAACCAGGACCACTTGACCCGGGTCCTGCGTGGTGTGGCGATCTCAGGCTCATAGTGGTAGTGACAGGGAAGGGTGACACTGCTCCCCCTGGAGGCTGACACTGAAGGCTGCGGGGATTCCACATGGAGACGAACCCCATTGAAATAGACTAGAAATGGCACAAATCACCAGAAACACAAGATGTTTTAGTTAGTGGAACCTTAACTTTGTTCTCTACATGTGACATTTGATGGGATTATTTATAATGCTGATTTAAACCAAATCTCTTGAGTCTATAGCTTTAATCTATGCTGTGGTGAAACTGAACTGGTCACTAATAGCAGGGAATGAACAGGTAACTAATAGAATGAATGCTTATTTCTACTATTTATTAATTTGTATCTTTATAATATATGTGTATATTTTGTTATTGCATAGATGTTAGCCTAAATTTGTGTGCAATGTATTTACCATATTTATTAATTAATGACTACTGCAACATTGCAATTTTCCTTTGAACAAACTTACCAACACTTACATAACTACCTTTACCTACTCACTTAGTGCTACCCACCCATCCATCCATTCATCCATCCATTCATGGTATGACCGGTGAGCCTGCATGCACAACATCAAACTCTGAAACTAGTTTTCCTTACAGAAACTCAGCACTTACTGATGTTATAATTAAACGTTTAGTGTTGCAATATTTTCCCTTTGTGATATGTTATAAGAGACTATATAAATGGATCATATAAATGTGTCTGGTAAAAGGGGCGAAATATATGAATGTCCACCAATATAGTGAAATTACTTAACTTTACTGTTTCTTAACAACAGGAAACAGCAGAGGACAATCACTGGTGGCTATCAGTAACTTAGTGATGCTGCTATCAAATATACTTTATCAAGAGAAAGCAACGTATTTGAAATATATGATGTTCTATTCAAAGCAAAGCTGATGAGGCCTTTGATTAAACACACTACTGATCAAACTGAACAAAAACTCTTCCATAGTCTAGCCAATCTGGTCCGTCTCTGACGTAAGTCAATGTTTCATTAAACATTGATTAGGTCTGAGTAGACTACAACGAAACGTGTCACTTATGTGTCACAACCAAAGTAATGTTTTATTTTCAAGGCAACTCATGCGTATGTTGACTACAACTAAGAAGAGGTAAGTAGATGTTGAGTTCTTTTCTTCAGGATCACAAACGCACATGTTTTCACACACACACACACGGAAACTGAGACCCACATCAATCACATGTGTAGTTTGTTTTAATAACCCTGCTGACTGCCTGGCCTCCATGAATTATAGTTGTCTTCCCTCCACATCCAGGTGACTTCCTGCCAGCTGTGTTATCATGTACACAAGTGATGTAACTGATCTGTGTCTCAGACATGCAGCGAACACACACACACACACACACACACACACACACACACACACACACACACACACACATTATCCGACTTAAAACTGAATGATTTTATGAATTTTGTCCTCATTGGGAAGACAAATCCCATTAAGTGACTTTGTAAACAGATTGAAGTACACACAGCATGAGTAATACCTGGACCACACACACAATCACAGGGGGTGGGGGGTGTAACCTACTCTCTCCATTGCCGTTGCCGTTGCTGATGTCCTGGTAGTGAAAGCCGTTGTTGTACCTGAGGATCCTGCCCTGGCCTCCGGGCAGCAGCAGAGTGTACAAGCAGGCGACCAGTAGGGGGCGCAGTAGACTCAGCATGACGTTGTCCTCTGCAATAAAAACAAATGCAGTTCTCTTTTTTTAACCCCCCCTTGTCTGAGAACTGTCATAAATACCAGACAGACAGGGTTAGATCACAGTGTAGTATCTGAGCTGTGCTTCAACTGAATCCAACCACTCCACTGTCACATTTGTCTATTTATCAATTCAATTTAAAAAGAACACATCCCTCTCCTCTAATGACTCCTGTGTGCTTGATAAGATCAGAAGGCAGGTCAGCAGTTATTACTACAGGATATTTAAAGGCTCAATAAAGATACAGCTTTTAGTTATTTAGTTACTAGAAATCAATTCTCACTGTGGAAATAATCTGAATACTTTCGACCTCAGATATCACAATCGGACGGAAAACAGCTAAATACATTTACACAGACAAACCATAAGTTAAGTCAAATACAAATCTATGAAAAATGCGCATAGAGACGAACTAGGATGTTCAAATAGATCAACATGCATTCTACAAACAGGAGAAACCTCAGTCACTGCACACAGGTCGAACATGCAAAATATAACATTTTTACCAGTTAGTTATTTCCCTCTTCTCTCTCACTTCAAATAGCCAACCCCTGCATTAATGAAACTATTATCCTATAATAAAGTTCATGTTTATCCAATGCTGCCTCGAAAAATCCAGAACTTCCTCTTTACCAACTATTTCGTCCTCATCGCAGTAAAACTCGTCCCGTTAGAAACATAAAGCTCGGTCTCGTTAAATGTCCCCGGTTCGAATCCTGTCTGTTGTTAGAACAAAGTCTGTCAGACTCACAGAGGAGCAGCGGTCCGTCCATCCAGCGCGTCCACAGCTCATCTCCTCCTCATCCTCTGCTCACCGCAGCGCGTTCACCGGAGCGCGGCGTGACGTCACCACACACGTCACACCATACACACTATAACCAGAATCTTTGACACATATTATTTATCATTTCACCATGTGTGCATCCAATGACCTTATTGTCTCAATCTAATGTTTAGAGTCTAATGTTTGACTGTAAACATGCTATTACACATTTTAAAGATGAGAATTATAACAAAGTAAATCATTATAAACCTAATGATTGAATAGCAAACAATACTCTTCATTTCACAGGATTTCTATTGGGACATATCAAGAATCTACAACTTATAGACAAAAAAAAAAAACCACGAAACTGCTCAAATAAAGATCAAATGTTCAATGAACAATACGAAACCCCTCCCCCTTTCACTTTTTCATCTTTATATTTGTTAACATAATGTATAAATGTACGTTTTTTTCTAACTATGTATCTATATGTCTGTTGTTCCACAGCCATTGTTCTTTGCTCAATAGATCCACAATCTGAAGCTGGTAGAGGTTTTGGCAGCAGACGTGAGTCAAGTCAACAGGATATCTTTCTGTTTTTAGAGGAAAATTCCTTGTTCAGTCTCCCTGGGTAGTATTTCCCTACAGAGGCGGACTGTAACAACAAGACAGGATTTTATACTAAACATACAGCAACTTTGATTTGTCTGACAAAGACTTGAAGCTCCACATTAGCATCAAATAAACGCCTGGGTGTATTTTTGCACAGGGAAAGAGCTATTTTGTCTAATTGAAGGTGCATTGGTGCTGTTACAGTTCAGCATGAACAGGAGGAACAGAGCAAGGACATTTAGTTTCAGGCATCTATAAACAGTGGTTGGAAATAACCAAAAAAAGGAATAAAATATTACAGTGACACTAGCACCATCACTTAAAGGTACAGTGTGTAGAGTTGTGTGAGATCTAGTGTTGAATTTGCATGTTGCAGCTGAACACCCCTCACCTCACCCTCTCTGTCTAAACATGAAAAAGAACCTGTGGTAGCCTTCAGTTGTCATAACAACTCAAAAGGTGTTTAGTTAGTCCAGTCTGGACTAATGTAAAAAACATGGTGGCCTCCGTAGAGAGGACCCCCTCGATGTAAAAATATTCTAGAGTAAAGAAAACTACAATTCATACAATTTAGATGAAACAAACTAGTGAAAACATCATGAGGATTATTCTACATTAAATTGCCAATAGTTCCCTTTCACCTAAATCTTACACACTGGACCTTTGAGATGTGAAAACAAATACTAAACATCTAATTGTGAGTAGAAAATTTAATAATATACTTAAAGTGATCTGATTTTTCATTTGTAATACAAGTACCTGTAGTAATGCCTCTTCACTCCATCTTGCACACAGATGGAACTTGGTTGTTATTTGCATCACTCTTTAAAATTGATGGGGGTCAGTTCAACCCGCTGACCCCTTTCCTGACCTCTTGTCATCCCACTAAAATCCTTCTCAAGCACAACTACTTTGTGGTCTTTTCCTTAACCCTTACAACCTTTCATCTGAAACAGGCAACTGTGGCTGCACATTACAACATCCAAAGTACAAATATACAACCTCAACATGCTCTAGTTTTATGTTTCCAAAGGTCCAGTCCTGTGTGAGAGTGTGTGTTCTTTTTTGTTCCTACAGTCTGATATATTTCCTTGCCGAGTCCATTCAGAGGCAGAGGAAAATCGTCAGTAACATTTAACAATGCAGGTGTATTTTACAACCTTTTCTCTGATGGTGCAATCCAGCAAGGCCTGTCTCTGACCCTTTACATCTGGAGTTTAAAAATAAAAAGGAGGGGTGGATCTCATCCAAAAATACTTTTAAATCGTTTAACTTCACAACCTCATGCATGTGTTGGAGAAACTCTGTGACCAAGAAAAGCTGCACATTTCATTAACCATATCAAATAAGTGAAATGTATGGCAGGTGTTTTTTGTGAAGTTTAAAACATGTTCAGTCTTTTTGTTTTTTTTGGAAACAGCAGTATTGTCAGGGGCTGCCAGGTTCTGTGCTGCTGGTATGTTGAGCCTGACAGAGCATATTCCATGCCCCTGGTTTGGCATGGCCTCAAGTAACACAGCAAATATTGCCACACAAACTCATATTTCAGTCAGTAGCTTCAATGGTAACAGCAGAAGAGGAAAACAACAGTAATTCCATTGCTCCGCTGGGGCCACTGAGAATGTGCTGCTCCTGCACCACTGCCCGAAAATATCTGAGTGATGGCTGATTATCACACTGCAGATGTAAGCTGCCCTCTTGACACTGGCACATAGTGAACGCTCATATGCTACTAAATATTACTGCCTAACACAACACTGCCATCCGCTGAAGAGCCACAGAGCATCCAGTCCTCCAGTTAAAGAGCCTTGACGCTCTGAATCCTGCACGCAATGTTTTCCTCTGTGGTCAGCTCCTCTACACCCACTGATGTTTTTCTAGTGATCTGACTGACACCCAGCTGCCTTAACAGAAACCAAAGTGAGTTTTCACTTTTTTTTTTCAGTGGGAGGTTGAGGAAAAAACAAATCTCCTGAAAGGCGATCACATGTTCAGGGTTTCAGTTTATGGTCAAATATCAGGGATGGTCACGGTTCATTCAGTCACATAACTCAGCCATTGAGTGTGGTAATACAGCCATGCAAGCAACTCTGTGAGTTCAGGCCAAAGTGAACTGTTAACATGCTAACAATGGCCAATTTGCACTGAGAAAAGTGTATAGTTGAGTCTCATGGAGAGGGGGACAAATTCAAATTGACCCGATGGCAGCAATAGAGGGTAGGGTTATGGGGGAGCGAGGACAAACCATTCTATTGTTTCACTTCACACCAAACATATTAATGTAATAATGGCACACAATTAAGAAAACAGGATTCAATGTCTGTACACAAATTTGGACCAATCCATCCATCAGATACTGAGATGTTTCACAAGTGACAACTATGACCTGCTGGTGTCACCTCAAGAAAAGACGAGGGAACTTTCAAGTCATTAGGATTCATTCACCAGGGATTATTGATTTCTCTCAGTGAACTGCATGACATAAAATATATCCACCAGCTGATGCTAGGAGAGGACAAGACAATGAATCACCAAAGTCAGTTTGCCTCATCGTCTGTGGATCAAACATATGTGTAGAAAATCTCATGACAAACCATCCGGTAGTTGTTGAGACATTTTATTCTGATGTGTTGGACAGACCAGCGTTGCCATCAGCAGATCCACGCAGTTAGCATGGCTAAAGCACAAACCCTCTCTAAAGCTGAACAATTCCAAAGGAATTCTAACCTCAGTATGAGTTTATGTGATCCTGCAGACAGCGCAGCTACATTAAGGTCACAGACATGGCTTGAAAAAACACAGTACACACACACAAATTGTCTATTATGGCAAGAATCCCAGATCCGGATCACTACCAACATCTCATCAGCTGTGGTTTGCCCAAAGTAGAACTCCTCAGTTAACCCTTTGTGTCCATCCTCTTCTGCTCTATACTATCACAAACTCACGTCCACTGTCTTCTGTTTATCCAGCACTGTAAAGACTCCCACGACTACCAACAGTTTATTTGACAACGTGGTAATTTTTGTTACATTCCCATCATTGGACAGGGTCAGGAAAATTGGTCCCTGATCCTTCTTTCCTGCACTGTCTTTATTACCACTGGAAATATTAGGGCAAAGAAGTGCTCTCCTCCATGTCTGGGATTTCCATTTCAAACTTTGTGAGGATGCCGACAGCATTGCTGGTATTTACCTGGTATACTGTGTCCACCATCTTGTGTAAGCATGTAAACAATTTGAGAAATTGCAACAAACACAAAGTACAGCAGATATTCTATTTTAAGGATCTGAATGTAGTAAAAAGTAGCATGAACAATATCAACGCCCTCTACGATGGAGGCCTCAGGAAAATATGCTGCATTTTATGGCCTAAAATTATCTTAAATGAAGACCTTTACAAGAGGTAGACTGAGAGCCAGAGTGTGGAGCTCGAGAACAGATGTCGGATATGTTTTCTTGAGAATGGAACAGAACCGCAAATACAAACCAAGGACTGTCCTAAGATGGACACCACCTGGAAAAGGCAAACAGGTCTGCAGAAGACAACATGGCAGCGAAGTGTGACAAGATGGGTCTGACATAAAATGTAGCTCCCAGATGGAGGTAGATAGCTGATGCATTATGGCCCTGGAGGAACGGAGAGGATGAAGTCTAACAGCAGAGACTGCAGGAAATATAATTTAGTTTTTATTTTAAATCAAAGAATTAGACATGTTTAATTCTTGACCTGATGATGGCGCTATATTAAAAAGATCAAGAGATCACTTGTTGTTCTTGATTCTTGTTAATATACTTCACATGATAAATGGATACTCTGACCTACTCAGACCAATGCAGAAAAATTCAAGTAATTACTAAATACTGGAGGCCACATCCTCTGAGGACCATGAATGTCTGCACAAAATGTTACAGCGATTCATCCAAGTAACTGATGAGATATTTCAGTCTGGAGCAAAGTGGTAGATTGCCTGACAGACTGACAGACCACAGAGTCATGCAACAAGCGTGCTTCGCTTGTGTTTCATAGTTTAGCTCCAAAACCCATTGTTTCCTCAGTAATGTCTAAAAATGTTTGGCCATCTTCAGGAAGTTTTTATAAAAGAGCTTACGAGACAAGAGTGCAGTCTGCCATGCGGACCACAAGTAGCCAATATTTGATGTATGAATCCCATTTAAGTAGGAAAGTAGTTTTATTCCCAAATTAAATTAACCTCATGAAATGTTAAGAGGCAGTATGAGTGGTCATCAACACTAAAAGCTCACAAAACCCTGAAAGCTCCTCTCAGAGTCAGTTAGCAGCAGCAGCCCCCGCTCTCAGCCTGTGTGACAGCCGGATCCCCTCCCTGTGTGTCTCTTAGCCATTATCTCCCAGTGTGTTTGAAGAGAGACCACATCGGTGCACTTCCCAAAGCCTCAGATGAAAGGTTTTGGCCTGGGGCCCCAAATACCAGCAGCCCCTGTGAACTGCTGGATGACCGTGGAGGTGGAGGTGGAGTAATTTCAGCAAGGGCAGCTACATTCAGGCCCGGAAAGGTGAGCGGAGCTTGGCCCTGGAGTCCAGAGACACGACATGAAAGAGGAAGAGATGACTGCGTGTTTGTGTTTGTGGTTTGACTGAAGAACCAGGCAGCTGATCGTGTCACACGCTGTCATTAGCAGAGACTCCTCTTATAAAGGTAGGGTTAGTCACAAAAGGTGTGTGTGAGAGTGGTTTGAGTGTGACTGTAGTGATTAAAGAGGACGGTGCCAATAAAAGACCAACAAGAGAGTGAACTGCAGGACTCAGGGCGACGGTTTCCACCCTGATTAAAAGATACAAGGTAAAATGAGCTGTAATAACAAATAAACACTACAATTTTCCATCTTTTTTAACTCACTCATGTGAGTTTAAACCAAACTACACTTCCAAAATGCCAAACAAGAACCAAAGTTCTTAACATCCTCACGTAAAAGCCACTCATCACCTTCAGTTTTTACTATTTATCTTGAGCAGAAAAAACATGTTTTCTTCTCTTTGAAGTGACGTCCTTGGAGATGTTGTCTGTGTTGGTACATAACTGATTTAAAATAGCAGTTGTTTTCAGGAGTGGATTCTTCCTGTTCAAAGCCGCTGCGGTGCCTCCAGTTTCCTGCCTGCTTTGGCCTGAGTCTGCGTTCGTCCCTGACCAGCTGTCGCACCAGGAAAGCAAACAGAGAGAAACCCCGTGCTGAGCTGAAGGAACCACTGTCTGTCATTTCAAACTCGTCATATATTCCAAAACACTTCTGGAAGGTATTAGGTAATTGACACTGAAAACGGCCATGTGCTTAATGGCTGTGTTGATGAACATCAACAATCTCTTGGGACAGAAATACTAAGGCTGCAGCAACTACAGACAGATCTGCCCAATGTCTTTTTGATAAATCATCTTTTAGCCTCAAACATTATGAACAATTATAAAAGCAGGACCCCCCCCCCCACACAGTTAACAAAGCTCAAGGTGAAGTCTTAAGTGCCAAAAGACCTCAACCCAATTCAGTTTACTGTCACACAAGTCTAAGACAAGCAGCACTTCCGTTTAGTATGTTTGCATGAAACATGATTGAAACAGCAAATCACTTATCAAACATTTTATTTTGATCGACTAGTTGTTGCAGCTCTAATAAAAACCCTTCTGGTAATTTGCTTCATAAACACAAAGTTGGTTTTGAAATTGCAATCTCATTATTATGGGCATTTTCACATTTTGTACATGTATCATTCATATTTTAGAATTCGTCAAATTTGTATACTCAATGTTTTCATGGTTTTTAACATCTTGTACGTCTTAGGGATGGGTTTCTTACAAGGTTTAACAAATTAATATCCAAGCACAAAATGACGATATGATTCACATTTCGTTATTTTAAGACATGACTAATTCTGATGGAAGCAGGATGTAAAAAAGTAATAATGACTCACAGCTCAAAACTAACACACATGACACAATGTGGGCAACCAATTCTAATTTAGACGAGCAGCAGAAACAAAACATCATTACTGAGGCTGCTCCTCTTCAAACTGGCTCGAAAGTCTAAAACATCTGGGGAAGAGAAGATGGAGAGTTTTATGTAAAGGGGACATGAGGAGAAAGCCGTCATTAGGTTGTGAACGCTCTAACTGCCAGCGTCTCCACTGGGGGGGGGGGGGGGGGGGGGGGGCAGCTGGTTCACTGTGGATAGTGGCAACTGGACAAACATTATCTAACAAAGGTCGTCTCCTGTGATAATAAGCTGGTATTTACTAACTGTACACATGAAGGGACATAATGTGGAGGAACAACAGCAATTTCTCCTGAACAATAATATTAGCCCACCCAAATGTGCAGAAAATACCAGAAATAACGTTCACAGTGCCGCACATGAATGTATTTTCATATGATTGTGTGGCTGAAAGCTTGCAGGGATTTCCCCACTTTAGTGTCACCTCTATACAGCCTGTAATGAGGCTGAGAAGAAGAAGACGAAGAGCCCTCCTCCGGTGAAGATACCTTTGGAAGATTGTGTGTTATAAAGAGAGATTATGCCCCTGGGCTGTTTAAATGCTAAACAGGCAAAATTTACCCTCAGTGCTTCAGGTCTTTTGATCTTCCACCTTTTTAAATGGAAAACAGCTCCAATGAATTCTGCATTATGATTAATAATATACACTAAATATTTCATCTTTTGATCTCCACAGAAGTACAGACCATTGTTGAAGCCAAGTCAATTAAAGATACAAATGCCAAACATAAAGGAATCCTCTTAGAAACACAACACTGGAATAAAAAAAAAATCCAGTCAAAATTCTATGAGGTTAACAGTCAAAATAGCAAGAAACAAACTCATATAATACCATAAAAACACATCAATTTGTTTTCAAATCAATCATAGAAAACCTGAAGAGCGGACAAACAAGAGAACTACAATAGCTTGAATGTTGATGAACATCTAGGAAAGAATGAAGCCGTGTCACCAATAAATTTCAACATCACGAGTCAATAGAAAGCATGCAGACGTGGATATCAAGGGTGGCTCCTCATGGAAACGTCTGCAACAATAATAAATATTGTACAGTGTTTGACACCAACATCCATCCCAGCCTCTCGATGACACCGCTATCCCCTCATGCATTTTTAAAGATCTCTAATTTAATATTCATTGTTATCCAAACTAACAGTGTAATATTGCACAAGCCCATAATTCATAATTCATGGGGTGGAGCCGTTTAAAATACTGTGACGGGGGTGGCAGAAGCAGATGATAGAGCGGGTCATGTCACATGTCCGGTGGAAGCGTATAAATCGCTTTTAATTTGGTTTCTCTCTTTCAGTCTTATCAGCGGGACCACAGCTTTTAACTGGAGGCTAAATGCTGGACCCTAAATAAATGGCCGGCAGCCAACATCTACGAATAAGAACAGACTCACCTACTAAAGAACTGTGTATATGCATGTCACATATTAACACTTAACACTAGACTTTCAAAACTCAGTTCACCAAAGAAACAGCAAGTCTATTTTCTTCTCTTCGTTTTTTTTTCTTTACCTTTACATGTTATAATGACTATGTTTTATGTTTACGGTTCATTCTTCAATGCACAATACTGTTTTTTTCTTTTTTTGGTTTTAAGATATTTGAAATATCAAAACAGAAATATCCAAGTGCCATAAAAAAATGAAAGTAGGTGAACACAACTAGAAGCACAGCTGAGTGAGGGGATTAGTGGCGTTTCAGTAGCATTCGCTGAACATTAGGAGCAGATCTGTACTGACCTGAGTCATCCACTGTTTTTTATTTTGCAGCCGTTTACACTATTGTTAACTTTCAGTTTATGATGCAAAGCGACGAGTAATACGTGGAAATGTTGGACGAGTATCGCCTTAGTGTAATTATTCTAGCAAATACATGAGTGCTATGTGTTATTTGAAAAATCCTGTCAGCCGGATAAAATGTGAAGTGAGAAAGATCAACACAAGCTTCCTGTGACAGTGACTCCACTTCAAACAGCCTGCTCAAGATGAAACTGACAGATCGAGATCTTTCTTTAAAAAAACACTTCTGAGCAGGTCATATAAGCAGCTGTCACATGAAACCTTACAATCAAGCCACTAAATAAAATGACTGTCAAACAAAGGTGAAATAATTGAGTAAATCTGGAGCTGGAATAATCCGAAGAAGTTGTTATGCACTGGAGAAGTTACAGAGTTGCTGAAGTCATCACTGAAAACCAAATTAACATCATTTTACAATCAGCTGTAAATAATGGCCTCTAAACATTTCAAGTGTTACATTTTTGTCACTTGCAAGCTGCACGTCCATCTCTCACAAGTATCTAACACCAGACATTTTTATGATTGTATATCTTTGAAATGATTTATCTGCCTGTCACACCTGATCCTTTTTCTTTGCTCTTCGTTATTATTCAAATGTTGGAACTAGTTGTTGAGATAATGTCTAAACTCTTAAACACAGATACTACACATTTTGTTTACAGCGTCCATATTTTTTTTTTTCCACACTCCAACTTCAATTCACAACTCTGGAAGTTGGACCTTCCGAGGAGCACGTAAATGCACAGTAATATTCTGAATGAGTAATGTAAGACTTGTATAAATGTCTTTTTATGGCTGAAGATCTCACACCTGCTCACGGCAGCAGCACGTGGAAGTCTCACATTTCTTTTAAACTCGTTCAGTAAAGATTTGAAAGTCTTTTTGTTCCTTGATGATGACATCCTGTTTGTCCATGACATCACACAATGTTTGGCTGTTTAGATGACTGAGTGTGATGGTTCATTGACTGATTATGTTCCACATAATCTATGAATGTAGTTGATTGCTCTTTTGGTTTACTGTTTATCTACATCAGTGCAGTATTTTTCTATAAAAACGCACAGGAACAAAAAACCGAGGGTGTGTTTGGCACAAAACTTCACCCTGATGAGGCCAAATGCAACAAAGTGATTCACACGTAACTTTGTAAAAACTGGACCACAGATTCACAGACAGGTTCAGTAAAAATACAAATCTAGATAGATTCTGTTATTGGCTACTACACATACAGTATATGTTTAACCCACGTGAATACTGTTAACCTTTAATGTTGTAGAAAATATGAACTGCAGGGACAAGATTTTTAGTCAATTATTTTTTTCTCAACAAACACAGAAATTGTCTCAACAAGAGAAATAATCAATCAGAAGCATCAACGTACTGTTTTGTCTAAAGATAATATATATTCTGTGTGTGTTGGGGGGGGATCAAGTGTGCAAGCAGTTAAATGGAGCGTATGTACATCACCAGCCATGGGTCTTGGAGGTTCGACGTTTCAGGTAGAGCTGATGTAGGATCAGGCAGCACCAACTGATACAGCAGCAGTATTGTTACCCCTGACCCCTGACCCCTGACCCAGGGATCAACTTTCATTTAGCCTGTAGGTGAAACAACCCCGGAATATGCACGGTCACTTTTTGAAGCGAGCACATATTTGCTTTTTTTTCAGCAAATGAAAAATGAAGGGACACATGAGCAAAACTCTAGGCCCCAGTGACAGGGGTGAGGGGTAACGTCTCCCACCTCTGGGTGGGGTAGGCGAGGTGCTACTCTGGTGTTTGCTGCCCCCTAGGGCTGAGAGCAAGGCAGTGCAGGTGTGGCTCAGGAGGGACAAGGGAGAGAGGGAAGAGAAGGTGGGAAGTGGGGGAGGAGGTAGAGAGGGGAGGAGGAGGAGGGGAGATGGGTACTGGGCGGTGTTACTCGTCACAGCCCAGGAGCTCCATTCGCAGGGTGATGCGGTCGTGCCACTCCCACGGCAGAATGCGAACATATCGACTGTAGAACGGCGGCTCAAAGATGTTCTTTTTGTGAACGTTGTTGTCGCTGTTGCCGGGAAAGATCTGGACAGAGAGAAGCAGCCAATCAACACACATAGCACCTAAAAACCTAAATAACAAAATGTGTTTTTATGCTGCAAGTTAATGATAGGGGATGGTGAGTGGTACACATTAAAGGGATAGTTAACTGAAAAATGAAAATTCACTTATTATATACTCACCACTTGGAGGGGTGGGTGAAGTGTTTAAATCAACAAAAGTAGCCTAGAGTCCACTAGTGGACACGCACACGAAAGCACACCCCACATGTAAACCTTGGGCGAGAGTGTGTGTGGTGTTCTGAGGTGCCCGAGGGGATGTGAATGCACCTCAGATGACATTTAGGCTCTAAACACGGTGTAAATGAACTATAGTTTCAAGTCCAATATGAATGTCTGTGCTTGCAGACACTTGGATGACACCACACGAGCAGTATGGAGGCATTTTCATTTTTTTCTGTTTTATTACGTCTGAAGAAATGGTCACCATTTACTTCAATAGTACTGGATTTGGCTGCAATGCTGTTTACCCCTGAGACTCCAGAAGTGTTTTGTGGACTCAAACACTTCACCCACCCCTCCATCAGCATAGTGGTGAGTAGACAATGAGTGAATTTTCATTTTTCAGTGAACTATCCCTTTTATACTTATAAAAGATTGTTATTCTTTAACACTTTGTTTATTACATTGTTATCGCTTCATGTTATTACAATTTCCCAATATAATCTGACTTTGTTTTTTATTATTATTTTTTCATGATGAGAGCCTGAAAACAACAGTGTTTAAAATTAACTGCTGTCCCGAAAACAAAATACTAGCTATTGGTCTTTGTAGTACAGGCCCCAGAACTCTGGAGTGACTCACCAGCTGAGTGTACCTTCTACATCTGTTACTGCTTTTAAATCCATTCTTGAACTCTCATTGATGTGTGAATTTTATTTTATAGTTCTTTTCATCCTTTTGTGAAGCACTTTGTCAATCAAGAAAAGTGCTATAAAAATAAAGCTTATTTTTATAAAACATGTATGACAATAAATGTGATTACTGTAAGTCATTATTTCCTGTGGATGACTTGTGACTCGTACAATGAGAGTTTAACAGTGATATATATATATTCACAAACCTTTTCTGACACAATGTGAGAAGAAAAAAAAACTCTGCTCGTATTGTTTTCCCATGTGTGAGTTTGAAATGCAGACAATCTGACTTTTATCTGACTGCACATAAGATGCCAGATAAAAATCACGTAAAAGGAATTTTGGCAATCGAACGTACCTCATAAACAAATGCCTAAATTATGCCATCAAATAGAAATTCAAGCCATAAACTGAAATTTCAGTCATAAACATTTCAAGTCAGAGCAACAAATATCAGAGCCCCACAACCTTGATTTATAGACTCTGTTTGGTTCATCTGGCAGATAAATGGGTTTGTGAATGCATCATGTAGGAACGCATACAGAAAACGAATCAGGCACAGAGTCATCGCGATTGGTTCCATGTGTGTCAACGAGAACGCCAGAGACAAGTTTTTCACTTTTCCTTTAAGACCCCACAGACGAACTGTTTATAAAAAAGTCATCAAGGAGTACTCTTTTCTAAAACTATTATTATCATTATAGGATGTATCTCTTACCCTATACCGTATTTTCCTATCACAAGTGTTTTTCCCACATTAATCTTTATTGCCTTTATACATTTATACAAAACAAACAAAAAGTTTTGTTAATAAAGTGTTTCTATCCAATAAGTTATATTGGTAATAGTGTAATGCTGACCCGATGTCTTCATCTCTAAACTAAAAACTTTTCCTATTTTCTGGTAAATACATCTTCTTTCGCTCTTGAACAATAAGAAATCTATTCATCACATATATTTCCAGTAATACTTTTAACAAATGTCCATGACTGGGTGTGTTCATATAAAGCCAGTTTCCTTGGCTTTTTCTCCAGCTGTTAGCAGAATGTTGACCAGATGCTAAACTTCCTCATTCACATTAGTTATATTGCTCAAGTAGAAAACACTTCTTGGGGATTGTATGTCCAAGCATCTCGTTCAGCATTAAATTCACTCATTCAGGCAACTCCAGCAGAAATGAGAGTAAAAGAATATAGTTTTATGTCTGTATGGCCACACTGCCTCCAAGAAGTTTGCTTCTGATATTGGGTAAAATAAAGAAGCGAAATACATTTTTTAAAATCCTCTCATTGTTTGTTAGTATGTGGATGTCTGTAATGTTTCCCACATACTTAACATTTCTGACCATGTTTCTGGTAGCTGGACTGACCTTGTCTGTGTTTGTGGTTTCGTCCTTCACAATGGTCCAGGACTGCCCGTTGTCACTGTGAGCCACTTTAAAGGCCATAACAAACTGGATGGCGCCAAAGTCCTTGGCCCCTTGTGTGATGATTCCTGTGATCTTCTTGGGAGACAGGAGGTCCACCTGAGCACAAAAACGAAGCTACAATTTACAAAAGCAGTGTTGGGAAAAAAAACAACGTACAGCTTTGTCTTGTTCTTCTCCCGCTATACCTGCAGCCACTCAGATCGGTTGTTGGTGGCGGCGGTCCAGGCGTTCGTCTTGCCCTGCTTGTCCAGTCGGGCATAGTGAGGATGCCAGTTGAAGGCCTCGATGCCCCAGGTGCGGAATGTGCTGGAGGCTGTGATCTGGCGGTCAGACACCAGTCGAGACTTCATGCCCATCGGTTCAGAGCAACCTGAAGTGTTTGAATACACTGTGGAGGTGAGATCAGGCAGAGTAACAGAGGAAGAGACAGAGAAAAAGAGGAATGGATAGAGAGAGAAAAAGAAAGTATGATAGACAGGGGACAGACAAGAAGCGGCCCAGGCCAGCCAGTGATGTGAGGCAGCAAATGGACATTTAGATGTGATGATGGTGGAGGACGAGATTAGCAGATACAGCAGGCAGAGATATGACATACATACCATATGCAGCTGTAGCCGAGCTGATATAGTGGAATCTAACGGTTCACTCACTCAACTCTTTGTTTCTTCTAGCTGTTTAAGTTAGAGGCCATGTTGAATAAAATTCATATTATTCTCATAATATTACATCTTCGTTCTCATAATATTGTGACTGTATTCTCGAAATCTAATACTCACACAACAAAGTTTTATGATGATCCTTCACAAGTTTGCAGTTAACAGTTTTCTTATGCTCACTGTATCAATTCATATATCCAGTATAAACTGAATGTTTATCATGAAGTATAAACAAACTTGTGGAACTCATTATTTAATTTATAAAGGCTGAAACAGACGTCTGAATGACAGTAGCTTAGTAAGGCAGCAGAGCATGCAGGTCAGATGAGCAGAGAGCGAAAGCTGCATGACGAAATTCAGAACTTTAGCTGTGCTTTCGCTGCTTTGCAGTGCGTGAAAGAGGAATCAAGTCTGTCCTATAACCATCAAGAAACAAATGATCACTCCAAAAAAAAAGGACCAAAAGTCATTCAAACACACACATGCTGGTTGTGATCTCTCGTCCGACTGAGAGGTGACCTTAAAACCAAACAAGCTACAAATAGCAGATTGAACAGTTTTGCAGTCATGCAAAAAATTGCAAGATGGAAGAAGAACAGACACTGATCTGAGAAGTGACACAAACATGCAAAAATATTAACATAAAATGTGTAAAAAACAAAGAAAGACCCACACTGGTTTATGATAACAAAGAAAAGACATTTCTTGCAATACAGAATACAAAGAACTCAGCATGTTTGCCTGCTGGGTTGACATTTCATTTCAGATGACAAATGTGAAAAATGTCTCAGCAGTAAAACAAAGTCTCTGAATCATGAATATTTGATGCATGTGTGTCGCTATCATTACAATAAAATATTTATATCGTTTTGATGAGAGCTCCAGGATCCTCTTGGAATAGACTTGTCAGACCGCATGCAATTGTGTTCAAAGTTACTGAGTAATGAAATCATCTGAGCAGGGGCCGGGCAATTAATAGAATATGTATCTAAACCGACATTTATATCCTCTCACCAACATAATCTTGCTCATGTCGGTTAATACATTTCCCAGTGTGTGCATTCACAAACTATCGAGGGCATAAAATAATCGTTCATTAATCATAATCTCGCTAAAGGTGTGAAATAATTGTGATATTGATTTGTCATATCACCATCGGTCATGATCAGTCACAGAGTGTAGGACTGAAAATAATTAGTGAGGAAACACAGCATGTAAATGCTGAGGGAGTGAAATGAGTATTACGTTTACTACTTTATATCAGTCACTAACAAACATCAGTGAACTGAACACCTTTGGTTTGCGGATGTACATGCAGAGTGTATGTTTTATGTTCTTTTCTGTGTAAGTTTACCATTTAGCTCGCAGCCCACCAGTTCCATGCGCAGGGTGCAGGCCTTGCGACACACCACCGGTACAACGCGGATAAACTGGGCGATGATTGGAGGGTCAAACAAGTTGGTCTTGGTGCCGTCATTGTCCACGTTTCCTACAAATACCTACAACACAGGTAGGGACTTAGCAAATCCAATCAAGTACACAGTTAATAATTTTTAATTTCATAACTAATAATGATTTTATTAGTAGCAGTTTTATTTTATTAATGTTTTCCAAGCAGATTGTAGTCACTGTCTACAGGATGGACTGCAGCAAGTTTATTGCAAACATGAAATATTATATATATGTTATAAATGTTTTCCTAAAAAAAATGTGTTTACGTGTGGTAATGTGGTCTTTTGTCAAACCAAAAGACAGTACACAGTCTATTTACAGTAGAATGTGACCAGACACTGCAGTTTGTTAGTGTAGAAAAGACAATGCTCCCTCTAGTGGTTCATTTCTATCTTTAGGAAATATGGCGTGGTTTGTGTGTTTACACTAATGTGTTTTGACATTTTTTAATGTTTCAAGTGTCACAGGGGACAAAAAAAACTACTTAAAATAAGAGGGCTGTAGTGTCCTGATGTATCTCCTCACATTATCCTTTCTCTGTCCGTCGGTTCTGTACATGGTGTATGTCTTGCCGTCCAGACTGGAGGCCACCTTGAAGGCCTTAATGAACTCGGCTGTTCCAATGCGACTGGCACCTTGAGTCACAATACCTGTGATACGCATTTTCCTCTGCATGTTGATCTGGAATTGAGGAAAAGGATTAATTTCCGTTTTTAATAGAACTTCTAACATTTCTACAAAAACAAAGACCTCAAGACTACTAAAACTAACTTAAGATGAATCATCCTGATCTACCCACTAAATTAATTGTGTACGTATCTGCTGAAGCCCTGGTCTCACCTCTATCCATGGGTTCCTGTCATGTGCAGCAGCGCTCCAGGCATTAACCAGCCCCTTGTTGTGGAGGCGGGAGAGCTCAGGTCCCCAGCGTTGCAGGCCCAGCAGGCTGTAGCGGACTGATGAGGCTGAGATCTGGGATTCAGCGATGCCCCCTCCCTCCATGCCAAGCAGAGAAATGCAGCCTGTGGAGAAGAAGTGTGGAGGAGGGCAGATTCACACGTCAGCGTGACATTTCCCTCATGGAAATTCAGCTGACAATAACCTTTCAGACACCTGATTAAAAGGTCCCTGTACGAAGGTTAGCTCAACTGGAAATCCAATACTATAAACAAATTTAGACCGACTGAAGAAGGATAGTGAAGACATGGTGCTAGTCCAACTCATATTGACAAGAAAGAGCCATGTGTGACTATATATTCACCTACTCAGGTCTAATATATCTCTTATCTTTACAAAATCTCTACAGAGCTTTGCAGCCATCTGGCTCTAAGGCGAGAGCATGTTTTTGTGGCTGGTTACACTTACGCAGTTGGCAGTGTTTGCCCACATAAGGCGAGGGGCAGTGGCATTTGAAATCTCCATCCAGGTCCCTGCAGATGCCTCCATTCTCGCATGGCTGGCCGGCACAGTCGTTTATATCTACAGAGAGATAATCCCCATCATTACTAAACTGTGGTTGAACCAAAAAACAGCTCACCAGTCAACTTTAATCAACCAGTCTGGACGTAGATCACAGTTAGGAGTGAGTACAGATCACGTCATGCTGGAGAATTAAGTGTGAATATTTCTCAGACTGAGGTTAGCTGAAGCCATGCTGACAGAAGCTTGTTCTTATCATTACAGTAAACGTAGCCTTGATCAAGATATGTGGTGTCAAAGAAGCAGCTGCACCAGGAGATCATGTGGTCAGCAGGAAAGTATATAATGGAAGGGTTCAGAGAGTAAATGTATTTTGTTGGGTGCCTGTAGAGGATTTATAAAACTTTATTATGCATGCGATGGGATAAATATCATGCCATTTTCTGAAACCGAAACAAAATGCTGAAAGGTTAAAGGCGCCTGACTCCAGGATGATGACCCAAAACTGTGTACATCTGATAACTTTAAAAATTAATATATGTTCTTTCAAAACTCAACTCAACAAAATGATGTTTGCAGAGATTTGTCTTTTCAGCTCAATAAAAATGTTCTGCAAGGCTTCAAAACTTTGTTTCAATCATGCAAAAAGTTCATAAAAGCCTTATTTTTTGTTTAGAAAAAGTGGATTGACTGTATAATTTCCTTGTAATTCTTTGCATTTCCTCTCGATGGCACCCTTACCATCACTATCAGCTCTGAGTCTGTGTTCAATGAGTCAGGGAGCTAAACGAATTGACAGAGTGAAACAGGGATAAACTCAAACTCCTTTTTATCTCGACCCCTCGAGAACTGCCAGTGTGACTAAACCAGCTTTAGTCGAGGTTCATATTTAGGTGGTTGTACAGATGACTGCACGCCAAGAGCTCTGAAGCTTTTATCCCTAGATGTTGTTAATATGCAAACAAACAACCCACATGCAGTGTCCATAAATAGCTCCATGTTCAAACATTTTTTATTTTTTTTTTCCCCCCACACAGACACGAGAGGAAAAGAGTCATTCTGAAATGTGCATCCATAACATCTGGATGTTTAAGTCCACAGTCATGACACTTCTAGGTCTGGGAGCTCACTCTAAATCACATAAAAAAGACTATTTCTAGCAGCAGCAGCTGAATATTTTAAACATCAAGTTCCAAACACTTTAAATAACTCTTTAATCACTTTCATGTGGCAGCACAATTTGATAGCAGCTACCTCTGTCTGTATCCAGATGTGCTGATACACTCATAACATCAGGACATATTTTAGGTTTGCCTGGGAGAATGTGTAACCAGCAGCTTTGGTGCTACAAGCACTTCAATCTAAGTTTTTGTAGCATACAAACCAGTATATGAGACATGTCAGAAAATACAACACCTGCAAGCCAGAGACATGAATCACAAATTGATGACCGACTGACGGACAGTCTGGTCAAGCCGTGACGTGTGTCAGCTGGTGGCGGCCTCTCCAGTAAGAGGATTGGGCAACAGAAGGACCATACAGTCTGGTCAGCTTCAGCCGCTAATCTATTTATGTGACAACCAGATAAAGGCGGAGGGGGACTGAGGTTCACGCATCATCCATGAGAACTGTGCTGGAAATTCCTAGATCCTATTGGTAGTTCTCTACACCACTGACCTAGCCAACAGCTGAATTGCTCTGACCAAACAGAAGAGGTGATGAAACTCGTCGCTTCTTTTCTGTGCATGTAACACTCTGTAAACAGTACGCTGTCTCAATAAAAAGTCCAGGACAAGAGAAGATGACCTGAATTGTGCCGTCATTCCCCAAAGATACTGTTTCTGTCCTTGATAATGTGCAACTTACCTTAAGATAATGTTACACAACCTTCTATCTGTGCTAAGTGGCACGTCTCAAATATTGAAATGTGTTGTGAATTAAACTTACAGAAAGATACACAGTGGACGTAGCTGTTTATTCAACAGAAATGTCGGCCACAGAAGAGGTGGGTATATTTTGTTTACCAGTGAAAGCTGTACGCACGACATGTAAACGCTGCTCCCATTACCTGTAAACATGCCTCAGGGTAAAGACATCGGAACTACTTCAACCAAGACAAATAACACAACAGCTGTACATATTGTATGAAGCAGTATCCTCTACTAAGCACTTACAGATTTTTGGAGTAGGGGCATGTGCATGGCCTGTGTCCAAAAAACCCTATAGCTTACAAGAGAAACAGCTCACTACCACAATATAGAGAGTGTCGGTATCTGTCTCAGCATGAAGCAAAAAGCCGATACAAATCTTATCTGAAACCAGACCCTGATCAATGCTAAGCCAAGGTCAGCTGGCAGTGCATGTGGTGATCAGCAAAGCTGTCTATGCCTGTGCTGCAGCCATCAAGAGTTGAGGCTAAATACAAGGTGCAAGTGTGCATCTGTCAGCCCGAAGGTTAAGTTAATAACATTTGTCTTTACGGAAGTGTGGCCTAATACTGCAATATTCAAGTGTACAGGAAAACTGTGATCAACCTTGCACCTTTTATCCAATATTGAAAAAAAAGTTGAAAGTTTGCACAATAGTTAAACTAGACTAATAAAACATAAAATAAGGAAATTACATATTTTTAATCTCCAGTTCCCATGTTACCATGGTTTAGAGACTATGGGGGGTGCTCTCAAAACATTATGGTCACCAGACAAAACCACAATGGGATTATTGATGAAAAAAAAAAGGTTTCCAGATGTGTAATTTGCTGTGCACTGTGAAGACTGGACTAGTATTAGTACACCAGGGAGCGCCACAGCAGCACCCGGAATAGCTTTAAATTGGACGTCTGCCATGGTGTCAGTCTGCTGGAGGGATGCAGAGCTCTGACTTGAAACTTCTGATGTCATAAAGTGTATTTACAGAGCATATTATTTAAAGCTGGTTTCTAAGCACTCTCTGTGTATAAATCAAGGTACAGTGACATCAGATCCTGTGCACTGGTAAATAATAGCTGTGGTTCTATAGAAGTGCAACAACTTCAGCTATTTAATATCTTAATTATTGCATTTGCAGTTCACAGTTTTAATGTAAGATCAACTAAATGTAGGCTACATTTGTACACTTGTTGACTGTTTCTTTAAAGCAAACATACAGAGGGACCTTAAAAAAGATCTTAGTCAGAGAAATGAATCGTCACCAAACTTAAAAAGTCATGAACCCTTGTGGCTTGCATGAATGCAAAAGGGAGTCCCATGGATGTTTAACAACAATGGATTTCCCCGGACTGAACACCACATTGTGATGACATATTTATATAACTGGTACTTGTAGTTTCTGAAGGAGCTCACACAAAGCGCTCAACCCCCATCTGCATGGTGTGGTCAAAGGCATAGGAGTAACGGATGTGAATATACAGTACTTAACTTTGTCAGTGAAAACAAAAATGTTGTTGATGAAAAAGAACATTCTTACTTTACCATTTATTATTAATCAAATAAATACTCCTTCCTAATTTTCTGGTACTACAGAGCTGGAAATTTAGTTTTCGTCATTCAATCTCTCCAACAAGATTCCTCTTGACTGATTTAAAAAGGAACTTAAGGTAAGTCTCAACTGTCACCAGCTTCTCATCAAATATAATTTTAGTCTACATGAAATAACCGTCTAACCATTCTATCCAACTAGCTGCACTGGTTTTCCTTGAACAAAAACACCTCTGTGGTTCATTATGGCTAAAACTCTCATCAGTCTGTTGTTGTTTACATGTGAACGTTCAGCCTCTCCAATTTAAAACCTGACAGCTGCTTCTGTTACTTAAAATATTGTTGTAATTTGAGGTAAGCAGATCAAGTAGGTTAAATGTAGCTTGTGAAATGGAAACAATCTTAAACAAGGGAATATAAGTCAGAGAGGAGCGAGTTACTTTCATTTAAAGAGAACTTTATGTAAAAACACCCTTAGTCAGAAATGTACTGTATATAGATGTATTATATACACACATACACACACATACTCTCTCCAAAGGGGGCATGAAGCCCGGTCTGCCCACACTACCACATCCTGGGAGGAGCTAAAAACTCAACTGCGTTTATCTGTTGAGAAAATCTGGAATTTAGAGACGTAAGAAAGAAAAAGGCTCCCTCTTCCCTGAGTACTTCCATCTGCTTGAGCCCAAAGAGAAATGCCATTGACCTTTCTCTCTATTTTCTCTGCATCTCCACACTCCTCCCCACCCACTCATAGAGGCTTTTAGGCCAATTGGACAGTACAGTCACAAGTGCTGGAGCCAGACCTGAGCGGTGAGTGTGACATTGTCAGGAGGGCAGACCTAATTCACCGTTCCGCCTCCACGTTCACCGTTTTTCGCCCGGCAACAGTAGCAGTGCTGACGTTGTGAGCGCTCCATGTGGGCCGCCTGTTGGCTAGACCGGCACGAGGGATAAACAGTGTGTGTATGTGTTTACTAAACAGCCTGTATATGAGATCATGAGCTGTGTGGGGTTGTTCATGAGGGAGTGCACACATAATTTAAGGTTTCGTTTTCATCCAAAATTGGTTTCTCTAAAGAATTTTAGGTGAAATAAAATTCAGTAAATCATTTTTTTTTAAACTCAATTGTTCTTGTTTTTTTTTACTTGTTTCCAGTAAGTGAATATTAGTGGATGGTGTCTCTCACACACACACACACACGCTCACGCGCACACACACATGCACGCACGCGCGCACGAGAACACTTACACTAACACAGTCATCATTAGCTGTGAATGGAGGGGTACTCATAACCAGCACAGTCAAATGAATTCCCCTCATCAGTTTCCCTGAGGCGTTATCTGGTTAGTGTAAGTGCCTGCTCTGCAGAGGGCTCCTAGTCTGACAGCATTTTCCAGAAGAAAAGTGTGAATATATGGATTTTTATGAGCTGTGGTTTGTGGTTCTCAGGGTTAAAAGTAAAACACAGAACAGTTAACTTGGACTGTACTCAGTAAAATGAGTATGTTTGGAGCATAAATGTGGGCGGAGGAAATGTAGATTAAAATAGATGCAAACTTTAAAAACTAAAACGTCCTTGAAGGGATAGGCATACTGTCAGTAAAGTTTGAGTGCGTTAAACAACTAATTTATGGGAATGAAAGAAAGTTTTCTTTTCAGGGTTGGAGAAATAAAAAAAAGTGTGGTGGTGACGTGGTGTATCTAATGCTGACCTCGCTCTCAATGCCACATTTCTGCTGGACTTGAGTCAGGAACAAGGAGAGATAATGTTGACCTCAACACTTCCCTTTCTGTGAGAGAGTGTGTATGTGCATGCATGGGGAGTGTTTCTGTTTGTGGAAATCTTCTGCCTCCACATGCAGCCAAAGAAACAGAGAGCACCTGGATCCAAGAAGGAAAACACACACACACCCAGAACATTCTCTCTTGAATCCCAGTTTTACTGTTTTACCTTTTATCGAACTTAAATCTGCCCCTTGGACACCTAGGATAAAAAGGCACACATGATCAAACACAGAATGCACTTTGGCTTTTCCTAAAAGCTTCCTGCTAAATTAGTTCTTTCTGCACACAGGCCTACTGTTATTCTGCCGCCTTCTCGTGCAAACAGTAGCCATCTGTCTGCGAGGCTGGAGGCTGTTGGAGGAGGGCAGCACATGTTCCCAGCGTTGTTTCCCTCTTTAAGGCCTGACCCTGACTTAACCAACCTGGTCTGAGTGACGTGTGAATGAGGCTCCCATAAGGATCACAGCTGTCTGTCTGGTGGCCAGCACTCACGACAGCTGTCTCCAAGTTAGAGTGCCGGGTTAGAAAGATAAACAGTGACCTCATTAGCTTTGCTAAATGATTAAGTAGGAATGACTTGGACTAATTGAGTTCTCAATACATCAAGAAAATGTGAAGACTTGGCCAAAATGTTAATACACCAAAAACCTTTAAACTGGCCAGAACAAATATGCTTGGAAATAAAAACATAGAACAACTTTCCGTGAATCATGATTGAATTTGAAGCAGACTATTATTCAAAACCTCAGAGTTATAGCACAACTTTACAGAGAATATTGTTCAGATGCTGAACAACGTATTCATGTAATCCTCATTAAACTATTGAAGAGGTAGCACAGACTTACTGTTCTGGCAATGGACACCTTCAAAGCCCGGCTGACACTTGCAGACGTACTCGCTGAAGACGTCACCTCGGCGGGATTGGCCCGTCACCTCGCAGATGGCATCGTTCTTGCAGGGATTGGGGTTGCAGGGCCCTGTTGGAGGAGAGGAAAGACATGCATGAGTTGAACAGAGGTTAAGCAGTACTGTGTACTGTATGGTTTTTTTCTTCAGGATCTGGGTTAGGATGAATAACTTACCAGTCTCAGTCTCGTTGCAGGTTTCTCCAGAGAAGCCATCAAGACAGATACAGATGAATGGAGTTCCTGCTCCAGTAACACAGGTTCCACCATTACTGCACACATTCACCTCACAGTAATCCCCTGCACACAGAAGGGGAATGACAGGTTGATTGCTACAGAAATTTCAAATAGTGACAAGCAGCTCAAGTAGAGCAGCAGAAATGTATCTAGTAGAGAACAGAGGTCTGCGTCAATGAACCTCATGAACACAGAAAGTAAATTAAAAAACATTTTGACCCGCTCATATTGCAACACTGTCCCATTGATTTGGTGTAAAGAGTTAGAAACAGAAATCAGCTTCAGTTTGTGCACAAGTCACATTCTAGGCCCAGACTTCATAAATGCCTGACAGCTCAGCGTTTCCTGTCAACAAACATCTGATATCCCCAGGCCCATATTTCAGGACAGGAAGAGGACAATCAGATACTGCAGCAGTTGAGACTTGTCAGTGTTAGAAGAGTCGTTTTTTTAAGCATTATCTCAGAGTAAAACATGTTTTAAAGAGGTTCAAGAGCTCAAATCCTATTTTTCTTTCTTTATGGAAATTCTTGGTGAGAGAAATTAAAAAATAATTCTTAGATCGAACTGTCTTTTGTGAATTTAGTGTAGCAGGAAATACAACAGAGAATATAAGAAGAGTATATCTCAGAATATAATAGAAAATATATCAGAATATATCAGTCTATATTCAGCTGAATAGGACAGTGTTCTCAACATCATCACAGCATGATGCAGAAGTCTGACAAAGAGGAGTTCACTTCTTTGGATATTTATGATATTCTGGTCATACCAATATCGTCAGAAAATGAAAAAAACCTTTTATCCAGGATCCGCCAGCTCCCACTACGCAATCAGCACTGGCTCAGTGCCAGTGCTTTTGGTCGCAGTTAATTTTGCTTCTTACAAGGTCAAGGGAGCTTCATGTACAAAAGGAAAAATAAAGTTGATGGAGTAGAAAAACATTTCATACAAGGTGTAGCAGACAGTTAAAATTTCCATTGCAAATACATTTGTCATTTTTTCCCTTGTAGCTTGCTGCACGTTGGATGGGTTAGGCTGAACAGCTGAGTAAGCCGTCACTACACTGTAAACACAACAAGAGCACTGGATGCTTCCACCAGCTTCACCGCTGCTATGCCAGATTCTGACAATCTGGCAGCTTTCAGGGCACGAGGGAAATCATGTCATCCAGCACTGGGTGGAGAAAATAAAGGAATGAGGAGGCACGTGGTGGTTTTCAACAGTGAAGACTGGAAGAGCAATGATTTATTGTCAGTGCCTCTCCTCCTTAAGTATATACTGTATATATTTAAAATAATAAATACCACAAATTGAAAACTAAGTATGATCAATTCAACTAGATACCATAGAATCTAACAAAATACTAAACTAGGCTCTATATATGGTTTGAACAACAAACCACGTGTAATTACAGTTTCCTGCACGCACACCTCGTTACACTGCGGAAATAAACTTTTAAATTATACCCTTATTACCCCATTTTGTCACTTTAAATATGGAGAGAGTAAATGATTTGGGAGCATTTTAACACCCAAGAGGGCAGGGATGACATTACCAAGTTAACATTTATCATTTGGATAATTGATGAGGAAATTAAGGTTGACACCCAAGTGTGACACTGGTGGTTCAAGAACCAAAGTGTGATGGGCTATGACCTGTTTTTTTCCTGGTTCTTTTAGCAGGGTGCATATTCCACCTCAAACAGAAATACGTGCAAACAAAAGTACTGTTTAGTCCAGCTGATGGTATAATTTCAGCGACCACAATGGCACAGCTGAAAGACATTTCAAAGACACTTGAAACTTCCTATGGATCATACATCCTGTGTCCTCTCCATCTTTCTCACCTCTATTTTATCCACTAATGTACAAAATTTGGACGCCATTCTCCATCAGAGGAAATGTAATGTAGATCTGTGTCACCAATGAGGAAGGAGGAAAAAATAGAAAGACTGAGATCCACTTTGCAAACATCCGTTTGGCTGTTTATCCACTGAACTGCACTTCTCATGGATGTCCAGTGTTATCAGTGTTGTATCCAGTGTCATGGCCTTCAAGTGCTTTCAAATCTCATGGGACTGTTACAACAGGCTTGGCTGGCACCGCCAACACATCCTTATCCAAATATTGCTTCCCGTTTATCTCAAGGGAAGGAGCACAACCTCTTTTCCTTCAGGGGCAGACTGCTCCAACAGGAAAAGATAAAATAACAACGTTAAACAAATGACCTCCTGAGAAAAGATTAAATATAATATTTTACTGGAACAATCTGATTGATTCACTCACTACAACGGCATGCATAACTCCAGCAAGGTCAAACAGTCCCCTTGTGAAACAACATTTAAATTCTCTAAATCCAGATTTTTATTTAGATCAAATTACAAACACAAACAAATGAGTCCTATAAACATGCCTGCTTTTTTCATCATAAAATGTTTGGGGATAAACGCTCAAATGTTAAAGGAAGTGAAAAAAAATAAAATCCTAGCTCTGCTGCTAAACTTTGGTTCCTCCTTAGGCAATGCCCCACCCCTCCACAAAATTCATGGAAACTGGCCGAGTAGTTTTTGCGTAAATGAAAGCATAACCTTCTCCTTTCTTCTTCTTCTTTCAGGAGACGGTCAGGATTTTAAGAGGAAATTAAATTAGTGATGTATTAGTCAAGGTGGTCAGTGACGAGACAGTGGTCAAACCATCAGAGACTTCAAAAAAAACACAACTGTATTAAATTACACAGTAATAAAGAAAACTGCTTATTTTTCCAACATATCCACAGTATATTACAAATATGATAGGATCACAAGACCCGCTTAAAGCAAAAACTGGCATTAAATTCAACCATTTAGAAAATGTAATAAGTAGTTGTGTATGTGGTTTCCTTTCTAAACTCTGCTGCTGTTTCAGAGGAAACCACAGAGTTGTTCTTCTCCTTAATCAACAGGAACAGCTGACAAATGCTGTTCCAGATAAACACAACTTTGTATTTCAAGATAAATCTGTGGCTCTCAGTTTATTTTATTGAGAAATCCATGATGGAACAAAGGCTTTGATTTTAGCACTTCTAATTTCACCCACCTCAATTTAAAGGGTCAGTTCTGTCATGAGTTGTCCATTTCTGAGACTTGTGCCTACATCATCAATACATTGCTAGTGAATCTTATCTGTTTTATGGTGCATGAAAAATGACATTACTTTCCAAATCATCCCCTCTGGTACTCACACTGAACAAACTTTCCACTTAGACATAGTCCTTATGACCGACACATACATGTTGGAGAATTTTTGAATGACCTATTCATCTCCATTGTGATGTGCAGGCAACCAAAATCTCAGGGATGTATTTAACAACGTCAGTGAGAAATTATTTTGTGTATTTCTTCAAGCTGCTGCTGCTGTTGTCTATGTCGGGAAATTTTCTAAAACTGTTCAGTTGTCCAGAAATATATCAAATATGGGCAAAACGCTTTAAGTGCTGTTTGTCTCTTTGACCTCTATATTAACCCTGTTTTGGCTGCATGTGCCTAAAAAAGAATGCTGCTGCAGCAGTGACTCCTAAATCCCTTTGTTAGAGGCGAAGTGAAAACAAGCCATAGCATGTTAGCATCTTGATGTTCTAATAAATCTTGGACTGAACCTGCAAATATCTATCTACTTATTCCAGAAATATCCGTCTGTGGAACGTGTATCTCAAGAACTCTTCTTGTGAGGTTGGCTACACACTTGGCATGGACCCCAAGGAAGTGCAGTGTCGACTTTGGTTTGATTTGGACACGTGATACGTTCTATGTTAATATAATTTGAATTAAAATGTAAACAGAGCCTTTCAGTCAGTGGGGGTGGCATAGCGTGCCTTAACAGGCAGTCTGCAGTGCAGGTTAAACAGGCCCTGGGTTTGAACAAACAGGTGAAAAGCTCTTTGTGCAGCAGTGGTGGCTTCAGGGTTCTTTGGATCAGCATCAAGAGAAAAAGCCCCTTCCAAACAGGCAAGTTTAGAACAGGCACTGCATTAGCATGGTGAATTGTAAAATATCAATTGTTCTAATTATTTAAAAAGCTGATATTCTCCTTAATAAATCAAAGTTAGAGCTTCCCTGCAGCATCTACCAATACACTTACAACATTAAATACATTTGCACAGATGACACCACTGTGCTAAGTGTACCCAGCGCAGTGCCCCACTTTAACTTAACAGTGACAGATTAGGAAGGTATGTGGAGTTATGTTTGGCAGAACAAGCCATTTCCACCGGGCATTGTGCTTCTCTCATTCCTTATGAGTCATAGTCTGTGCCTTTCCCATGATGCCTCAGTGCAAGAATGAGTTTCAAATACCAGACCAAAAACACAGAGCAAAACATAACGATTCAGTCATCAGTGAGACCCACCAACAAGGGGTGGATGTGCTTCTGCGTGAGCTTGAGCCTCAGCCATGAGGACACAGCTCAACATGCGTGGCTGTCATATCGGTTCATGTAGCGAGATTCTTATTGCAAACATTGGGAGACATCCATGTGAGGCTCCACGTGCACACATCGAAAAAGCAATTCTTCGTTTTTCCACTTGAATCTCTTGAAGTAAACTTTAAGAAAACCAGGGTCACATCTTACATGAGAGCAGTGACTGCTACAGGGGGCATGTCTTGACATAAGCAACTAGGGCAATTCATTTGTTCACTTCTTAGAAGCTTCACAGAAAAACTACAAGATGCCCTGATCTAAGTCAACACATCTCCTCTCAAACTATATAAGATCATAGGTGAATGGACAAAAGGGAAACAACCATTTTACAAGGATAAGAGGTAAAGCTGATGGATAGTACCCTTTTACAAAAAATGTTGTAGGAAGTCATATAAGGGCTCTGCAAAATTGTTATGCAGACGAAGGAGCCATTACAGTCCACAAGTATTAGGAGTGAACTCTCTGAGGACATTCACAGCCCATATTGGTAAAACACTTAATGGCTTTGAGAATAAAATACCACTTTGGGGAAATGTCACCTTAACATGAGGGGCGTTCATGAATATTAATCAGTTTTATGCGAAACAAAATTGTTGTGACTGCTTATGAGTTTTTTATTTTTTAAATTCCTTGATTTTGCCGCTCCACGTTGACAAGGGATCTACTGTACTTATGCTCCATGAAGGTGGTGTCGTTAGGCCAATCGCACAGTCTGAGCACAAGCAAAGCAAATCTTAGCGCTAGCAGGGGCTATTTGAGTGCGACCACAGGGGTTTCAGTGAAAGCATTACAAATCAATAAGTCCTGCTCTCAAACTGAAAGACCACACTCATGAATAAACATAGAGAAAAAATACATAACTGTATTTTAAAGTAAATTCACTTAGAGAATGTTGTTAGGAAAATACAGAGTCCACAGCCATGGGCAAAAATCTTTCATCTGGCTTACTCTTATTAAAGATGACATGAAGATTAGCTGCACAGTAACAGTTGAAGAGGGATTGGGAGGAATTAGCTTATTAAAAAGGAACTATAAAAAAAGTGCCAGGTTGATCTGCTCCACATCTGACTGTGTAGGAGCCTTATATACACATATGAATAACCCTGAATATATTGTGTATGTGTGTATGTTCAAGTGTTTGTGGTTATGTCACTGCTCCATGTCCTGAGGCCTGAAAACAGTAACACTCTGCGCTCTGCTCTGTCACACACACTGGCATGCCGGAGCATATAGGCTGGCAGGCAAGTGTGGGAACTCTGTGTTCCAGAAAGCAAAGGAGAGCCGCCTGCGTCAAACACACACACACATACGCATACACACACACAGGTCCAGCCCTTGTTAAAACCGTTAAGGATGTGCTGAGGCATAATAAGAAGGCTTGAGACCTGTAGAGTGCCCATCAAGACTGATTGCCAAATTGCACCACTGAGTGCAGGAGACATTAGAAAGAGAGGACCTGGACAGGAAGTGGATTCATCAAGGTCGGGCCTGCTCTGAGTCCTTAAATAACCCTGAACCTTTTTGTCTATATGAAGATCAGCAGGACTCTTGCTGCAGGTTAGCTTTGTGTAATCTTCAAGTGTTACTCTAGAGCAGCACAGCCATCTGCTGAGGCTCAGAAAAAATAAAAACAAAGATAGCCAGCCGCTAAAAATACACTCAGACGTCACGCACCATCAACGCAACAACATGCTTTTCTCTGAAGAACTGTACTGGAATAATGTCACAACAACAACCGTCTTAACTGAATGTGATGCCTATGTGCACACTGTTACTGAGCTCTGATCACTTGAACTCAAACATTTCATGTTTTTGGATTGAAGTAGTGACTATTTTGTCCTTCGATAAATCTTTTATTTAATACGACAGTGCTTAAAAAATTCAACATGGCAGATTGGAAAATGGGACGAGTGATACTAATCAAGTGGCCCAAATTAGACGATACTCCATATTGCAATGAAACATTGATTAAGGAAGCTATTCTGAGAGATTTGATGGGAAAAGTAATAAAGTAATTAGAGCTGAAGAAGACACATGCGGGAGGACACAGCACATGCAGATGGTACAAGGTGGATTTGACAAAGAAGCACAGACATTCAACTTTCTCTCACACACATTCACAAACTTTCTGATTTAATTATGGATTCATACAGGATACTGTTGAAGATTCATTTTCTTTCACTCAATTTATCGATTAACCAACTGCTTTTTCAGCTCTATTCATTGGTTTGGTAGTGTGGTTTTTAAGTCTGATATTGATTGATTTAGAAATATACATTGATAAAAGCATACATATATATGTATATATATGTATGCGTATATTTAAAAAAATATTCGCGATCAAAAAAGTCAACATCTGACTCTTGACAGGGTTGAAGTCCTAAAAACTTAGTAAGTGAGCCACAGCACATGTTCAGTCTGTTGATGAGGGAAATCTCATTCATCAAAATAAAGGATAATTCATGTATCAAATGACCCCAAATAACCATTAATAAAACATGCAAATGAGTCACTGCCTGATCTGATGAGGACGAAGCACATCCATCACATTAGCAGGAAATTAAATTCCTGAATAAGTCCAATGTCTGCCTGATATATTGGTAATTGAACCCTATTTTACTCACGCACGTGAATTTGCACAGATTCTAACCGCAAAGTGTTTCAATGGACCTGAATGCATCCACAAATTACACACTCCTGCCACGCCACTGGGCCAGCATCTGGTTATATTTAGCGTGGGTTCACTCCGCTAGCTCTCAAGTGGTCCTGTGATTGAAGACATCCTCAGTCCTGACAAAGAATAGTTTTCTATTTCTCTCCCCTAAGCAGTTAACAGAGAAGACAAATGGGCCACAATGTGCTGAATTGAGCCTCATAGTGTAAAATGAACACTCTCCTCAGCTTTCAATTTGCCCTGTAAACATTTCACATGACACAGCAGTAGCAGGTCCAGTCCCACACCCCAACCCCCCCACCCTAAACTCCCTGACAGCGTTGAAAAGGTCTCAGTGACGACTGTTGTGGGTGGAAGTTCACTGGCATGTCGGTGTTGGCTGCTGTATCCGGAAAAGTGACTCAATGCTGTGGTCAGGGCAACCACACCTATTCTCTCTATATGGCCGTCCAGCCCCTGATACTTGAGGAAAAAACCAGCTGGGATGTATGTGCTTCTCTTCAGGCTGCAAATGTTTCCAGTTTCAGTTACAACAAAAAGATATTAAAAGGAGGGTATAAAACATTTATGCAAGAGATGCACCAGGGGAAACGTAGCAGCCTGGCTGTCACGCATGAGGGTGTTACAGGAAACAGAATGCAATACAGTCCACATTTTTAAGAAGTAACCACATTGAGTCACATGTAAAGCTGAAACAATTACTTATTTAAATTAGTCGATGGTCAGAAAGTGAATTGGAAACTAGACTTTGACAGATAGAAAATGCTAAATACTACAGCTGATTGACCCTCCTGTCAATAGTCTTTAAAAAAAACTAGTCACTTACTAAGACTAAATATGATAATGTAGTAAGATTTTCATTTTAAAAGCTTTTTGAAGAACTCAATGTGTTTATGTTGACAATGAATTTTCAAAATATATTTAATGATGTGTTGTTCAAGTGAAAAAGACATGAGTACATGGATGTTGGACATATCATCTGTAGGCCCACAAATCCTAGAACCACCACTTGAGGGTTTGATGAGCAGATATAATGCCATATTTATATTCAAGAAAGTTACTCATGAGCAAGGGGGACTACTTAAACCGTATGTCTATAGGCCTACAACTAACCAGAGGCTTCAGTCAACTGTTTGACTATTTAATACAACATTGCCGCATAAATCTATTAGTGACTGGAAAAGACCAGACCTCTGGAAACAAGCACTGATCCCTGAGTCGTGAAGGAAACGTCAAAACTTGACTTGTCAACATGAAGGGGGTCAAAAGTCCAAATGTTTCGGGAAAAAACACAATCTGTCTTTCACATATGGCACCGACCCCGACTTATGAATTCTCCTCCTTGTCTGAGTACACGCAGTGGAAAAAGGGACATTTTCACATTTGGAAAATACATCATCATTCCAAGGATTCGTGTGACATGTGAAGTCTTCCCCTGTAGGTCTGTGAGGAGAAGTGAAGGCAGGAGAATGAGGCCATTTTGCCCTTTGTCCACTGCCCTAAATGTGTTTGATGCATGGAAATGCAAACAAAGCCAAACGCCGATGGCATGAGGTTAAACATAATAACCAGCCTGTATCTGTCCTGCTGTTTGAAAGGGGTCACTGTGCACCAAACTGCCCTCAGGTAAGCATTCATTCTGACTTAAGAGGCAAAGAAGAGGAACACCTGACAAACATGCAGCCCTATTTCTTATTTCTAATAAATGATGTGATCATCCTCCTAACTAAACTAATCTTGTAGTGTCTGAGCCAAACACTGACTCAGTCCTCACATTCCCGCACTGTGCTCTTCCTCAGGGGGGTTCGAACTTGTGTAGCTGCACATGTCACACTGCTGAAGAAGTGACGGGGCCAGGCTCAGGTTTACACCGTCACATAGCAAACACACGAGCTGAAAGTACATGACAACTGAGAGGGTTCAGTCAGGAACAAAGAGAGTGAGAGGAAGACAAGACAAAGAGAGAGAAACCATCAACTCAACGGAAACCTGCGACGCTCCGGGGACGTCCACGGTTTCAACTGTAAACAAACATGGGAGAGCAAACTTACCGTTCGCTGCCGACACCAGACAAGCCGCGAAAAGTTGCAGCCACATGAGAACTCGCGTGTGCTCCGTCATGGCTGCTGTTGTTGTGGGTTGTTGGAGTTGTCGGAGGTCGGTGGGGGACAGCGGGGCTCCGCGCTTCGCTGCTGCCGAGGCTCGCGCTCGTTGTGCGGCTCTTCAGTCCCGGGCAGCAGCCGTGGAGAGGGAGCACGTGCGCTTACGATCTCAGCCAATCGCAGCGTGGCATTTAATTGTAGCCCCGCCCCCTCCTCCCCGCTGTTGTTGATGTAAAAAGAAAAAGACTACCAAGGCAATAAATTACCATGGAAACAAAAGAGAGCTTTTTACGGCTAATGCTCTGTATTAAATGGAAAAGTGTTTATTAAGATCTTTAATGTGAAAACCACTGAGAGATAATGAATTGCTCCTTGCAATTTTTGCCAATTGCACTCACATTTAATGCTGACCTAATTTATTGTCTCCATTGAGGGATTGTGACACAATGGGCCCCTGATATATAAAAGCCCCCCCCCCCCCCCCTGCAAGAGCCCCAGCCTGGAGGAGACACAAAACAAACCACACAACCATGTCCGCTGAGGTTGGTTTATGGTTATTTTGCACGTCTTTTTGGTTGTGTTTTGTGGCTTAATGGTCAATTCATGTCTCTTGTGGTTGTGTTGCACATCTTGGACTCATTTAGTCTCTTAACCATCCACTTTGCATTTCTCTGTAATTGTATTGTGACTAATTTTGGATGTTTTTTGTGTCTTTCTGGGATTTTTTCCAACGGCAGACCAACAGGCCCACTGACAGCTTGAGGCGAGAAAGAAAACAACATAGAAATCTGTATGTTTCAATTTGGTGTGTTTAGCTATTATTATAACTGTTATTATTATCATTATTGTTGTTGTTGTTTTTTAGCTTATGCTGACAAAGAGCATATTCCAAAATCGAGTTGCATTCAATTATTTCCGCTCATAATAATCCCCTCAAAATTTGGTTACACAGAAAACCAAGAGCCAGTTAGGTCACATACATTTATGGTCTATTGTGCATTGTGGGTGAAGGGAAGTGGACAGGAAAAGTTCTGGCTGTCCGGATAAATGTGAAAAGAATAGAAATTTTAATTACAGCTTCTGATGTGCATGTGACACAAATCTCTTTTGTTATACTTAAAATAGTCTACACACAAGACTATTTGGAAAATGTTGCCATGGTGTGAGAAGGTAGGAACAACAACAAACCTTGTTTTTTCAACACTTGTGGAATAAGACTGACTTTGCATGTTTACTCTGTTTAACTTGATCACACAAGCTAGTTACATCACTGCATCTTCAAATCCATAATGTAATTTCCTGATTTAGCTTATTTGGTCAGTGTTGTTGTCCAATTCTTCAATTCTAAGAAAATTCCCATGATGGCGCCATGCATGAAATCCGCCTCTGTAATGCAGATTTCAGGCCAGTGTTATATTGAGGAAAGCTGAAAGGTTCATGTGGGTGTTTCTTGAGCTGAGATCCAGCCGTGTGGGTCAGAGCAGATTTTTGTGCTGTCGGAGGGAGTGGGCGTGAAGTGAAGAATTGATTTTAATGGGAGTGACTCTGAGCAGTGTCCGATGCTATCAGACCCTTTCAGTCTTTGCATTGTTTATGCCTCATTCCTCCTCCGTGGATGGATATGATTTTGCTATAATCTTTATGTTTTTAAATCTAGCCCACAAACACAGGCCTAATATATTGAAAGTCACACTCATCGTCAGCTATGACATCTACATTATAAGCCAGGCAGGGTATTCTTCGCTATCACCTTTACATTTCCTTCCCAGTGGGTTTAAAATGTGTGTGCTACGACAGCAGCAACAATTCCCAGATGAAGTCGACCCACTTGATTGGCAGGGTAAAATTCACCCTTCTGTAGCTTAGTAACACGCCAAAATGATTTAAATGCAGCTTAAAATGATCTCACGCTCAGCGATCGGTTCTAACACAGAGGAGAAAGGCTGCTGTGCTTTGATGGTCTGCTTTCATCACGTCTCAGTGTTCAGTTTATCGCTGTCTTCTCAAACCCTTTTTGATCAAACGTGCTTGTAAACGTAGAGATTGTTCAGTCTTGGAAGAGTGAAACCTATAGAAAAAAATCCTTCCCCTGGATGACCCTATAACATCAAAGCTAAGTCTTGGGCTATATGCACCAACTACCTCCTATATTCCCACTCGTTAGTTTGAAGAGCTGTATGGGTCAAACAGGGGCTGAATCGACTTTACTGTGGGAAATGGTAGACTCCCTGACGTCATCTCCTATAAAATGATGATCATGAAGCAAATGAGGAATTGAAAGTGTATATTTCTCTGCATGGGGTAAAAAATCCCTCGGTGGAGGTCTCTTCTTTCTGTCTTTAACAGGATACTGGAGGTATTTTCACACACTTCACAGTACCAACAGTACACACTTCTATCTGATTATCTATCTATCTATCTATCTATCTATCTATCTATCTATCTATCTATCTATCCATCCATCCATCCAATTTTAACTAATACATGCAATATGCATGGAGAGAGATAGTGGGAGATTAATCAGTGGGGGTTCAGGGTCTAATTTCCTGTCATTTCTCAGCTTTCTGGTAAAAACATTAAAATTAAAAAAAAGAGCTGGATGAAATAGCATTAAAGGCAGCGTGTATTGCTTTTGACTTTATTTCTTATCTTATCCATTATGAGTTAAAACCATACTGGTGTGTATCTATATGTTGCCTATATAATCCTCATACTCTGCTCAGCATCCCAATCTGAGACATCTTCTGTCCATAAAACATAAGACATTCAAATGTGGACAAACATTTCTTATGAATTGTGACAGTGACACCAGCAGACACTAAGAGGATGCAGGAATATGAGATTTTCTCTCTCCCACAGCAACAGTGTCAATGTTTTGACTCCTAAAATCCCAAATGCTCGCATCATGTTGAAATATGTTTCAGAAAAAAAATACATATTTATTCCTCCCTTGGCTCAGGAAAAAAGTGTCATCAAAATCCTTAAACAGGCAGAAAAAGAAACCTGCTTCTTACAGTCATGAAACCACAAGTACATCAGACGGTCATGTGCGCTGTGGGCTGGCTGAGGCACAGCAGGGGTCAAATGTGATGATGGTCCACAATGGCAGCATCCTGCCAACAAAGCTTCTTCTCAGGACCAAATTCTAGTAAGTCTGTGTCAGACCAGGTTCATTTTGGCTAAATGAAAGTTAAATAGAACTTCAATGAGACAGAATCCTGTTTGATCCTAATCCTCAAAACAGAACGTGGCATAATCCTGTAAACTCAAACCTCATGAACATGTGGTATTGCTAAAGGGGAACACCACCCATGAAATCAATGAAACAATCCAGGGGATTTTCACTTCTGTCTCCCACACAAAAACAAGAGGCATACATCCAACCCTGTTTCACTTCTGCCTCCCATCTGGAATCAAGAGCGAGGAGTTACACTTCTAAACAACATTGTCACATATAAGGAGATGATTGAGGATGTAGCTGGTTGCTGTGGTTTTATTTTTTCGGAAGGAAGAGAGACACCGCTTATCCGAAACTCTCTTTTGACTTACGTAGTCCACACAGCTGGTTTTGCTCACAGCTCAATGGGATTGTGCCACGTGTAGGATCTCTGCTGTGTTTGGTCCCCAGAGACATGTACAGTGCATGGTCAAGAGGATAGATGGCAAAAGAATATAATAAACTCCAATAATAAATCAAATGTTCTTCAGCAGATTTATATCTGTGCACTCTTTTCTTTGAAATGATGGTGTTTTTAAATGAGTAAGCATCATCATCACTTTAAATCAGTGTGAAGCTAAATATTATTGAAGATAAAATAACACAAACCACCCACACTCCCCCTTCAATTTCACTTCATGATCTATTTTTGTTTCTCATGCATAGTGGTTTTCTAGCTGCAGTTAAATAATGTGATAGGTCTTAATCTGTATGTTGATGTATAATGTCTTATCAGTAGGTTACTGTACGTAAAAAAAAACACATTAAAAAGTGTGACTAAGTCAGTACAAATGCATTTTCACTCCCACTTATATGTTCCATTGGTAAATGGCGCCCTCCAGTGGCTAAAATACTCAAATAAATAGTTTTGTTTACTGACAATTTGAAACATTATGTGATTAGAGGAAGGGAGAATAGAAAAAAGTGAGCTCAATTTACAATATTTTAAGTATTCACACAAAGTAGGTCATGAAAATAATTACTTATTAGAGTATAGCTACTGAAAAAAGTTTCAGTAGTTTAAATAGTAAATAAATGTATAAATAAATAAAAATATAAGGGTAAAGAAAAAATCATCAACATCAACCTGTGTCTCTTTGTGTTTTTTTTTCTCTTTGTGGTCATTTATCGTGATGCCTTGTTGTCGTTTTGTGTCTTTGTAAACATTTTGTGAATGTTTTGCGTCTCTTTGGATTCATTTTGAGATACGTTATGGTCATTTTCAATGCATGTGTTGTCATTTAGTGTCTCTCTTGTGTGTATTTTGCATCTCTGTAGCTATATGAGTGTCGTTATTGAATACAGCTAGCCATCTTTACTGCCATGTGTAAGATAAAACTGTGGCTGGTAGACTACTCTAAATTATGTTTCCGTTAATATGAACTATTATTGAAACCATTAGTGTTGTGGCAATGATTTGTCTGTTTTTGTTTGTGTATATTTTTGAACAACTTTATTGAACTGTGGCTACTTTCACTTTAGCTCAATATTTTTGTTTTGAGCACAGATCTGCAATGTGTGTTCTATAAACAGATATTAGTAAACGTATATATTAGTCAGAAATAAAACAGTACATACATACAATATGTCGAAAATGATAAAAAAGCATAAATATATATAAAGAAAAGAAAGAGGGGAAACACTTTCTTATTGTTCACTGAAAAGTGAATTTTAAATTTGGACAGTTTTGTCTCCAGGCTGTAAAGTCTGGACATATTCTTCAATCCACACAGACATCCTGTGGAATCAGATGTGTTGTTTGTCATTCTGTGGACTGAACCGCACACAATCTTAATATAATGAAGTCATTACTGTTGATTTGACAGAATGAGGAAGTACACTGAACCGCTTCTTGTTATGCTGCCTTTGAGTGCTGTGGGATATTATGAGTTCCCAACAATGTCAAACAGACAAACTCGGAAGTGGAAAGTTAGCCACCAGTAGGAATTTCAATCCTGGATTAGATAACAATATACACGTAAATACCCATGATGTTGTATCTTTGTGACGGCCAGAGAGCTAAATTCGCGTAACGAACGAGTGGGGGTGGTAGATTTAACCTTAGACCCAATCTGACGGAGCGTGGCGGGAGCCAGTGAAGGCAGCGTGAGTTCCTGTGCTGAGAAGTGACGGTGACAGACACGGAGCTGAAGTCTGGGTGGATCCGACCAGGAGCCGAAGTCTGGGTGGATCCGACCAGAACCGGGACTGACAACCACCACACACGATGGTAGCGCCTGGAAACTTCCATCCAAACTTTTTAAACAACCGCCTGTGCTCTCGTTTAAACTCCGTGGTGTGTTCACGCGGTAGCTGAGGACACACTTCACCTGAGAGACAACACAAAAGAAAGTAAGAAACCAGCAGACAAGTGGCTGCAGGTCTGTCCTTGTTCAAGTCAACCTACACAGCAGCCTGCTGTACTCTCTTATGTTCTGGTTGTTGTTGTTCTGGTGTTATACATGTGTGTGTCATGGGACATAACAGCCAGTGACATTTTGTTTTTCTTATCAAGTTGTTCCTGAAGTTGTTCACCTGTGTTTTCCAGCATTAAGTCAACATCACCAGACTGAAGCCACCTCCGTCTCTTCAAAGTCACACAACAAGGTGAGTGAAACACTTTCACTCATCAGATCACTGCTGGATCCTCGTGCCAGTGGCGGATCTAGGGTTTTTCTTAATCATGGGGCCATAAACGGGCCCACACTTTACACAGAGGTTATATGTCCATCATCCATGCGAAATACCTGATTCAGTCAGGTGCACATTTCTGAACATCTCTTTGTTTACTGTTTAAGCTCTATAGCTCGGAGCAAAGCCACACATCATTGGAACATATTTTAAAATGTATTTCCTGTTCAAACACAATGTGAACTTCAAGAAATCTTCACCAACAAAAGTCATATTTATTGTTAGTAGTGTAAGTAAGTGACAATTGACAGGTGAGGGGCACTAAAGGGGTCAATCAGACTACAGCCTGGGCCAGAGCCTCCCAGGCCCCAGCCCTGGATCTGCCCCTGTATCACGCAAAGTCTCTGATGGTCATTATTAGCAACAGCATACTTTTGGACTGAATCATCCACCACATGATTTTTTGTACCACGAGCAAATAATTCTAAATGTTGTATCTGGGTTTTCAAGTGTGCCTCAGTGTCTGCTACAAGAGGTCAGATTCTGACTCAGTCTCTTGACCATCAGGAGAAAACCAGACTACAGACATTATTTCCAGGAGGAGCAGCTCTCAAACCGCTGAGGAAGGTGGAGTTGGAAATGTTAATGTGTTCGTGTGGACTCTTGCTACTTTTAATGGAAAAGAGAAACGCAAAATGATTTTTTTTGACTGATTTGTGAATCAGTGTCTATAAATACTTAATTTTAAGACTTACCTTTATTCTGCCCTTGTCACAGTGATAATAATAATAATAAAAATGCATTATATTTATGTAACAACAATCAAAAACAGCAAAATATCAGGACACCAATCAAAAAATATAAAGTAATAGGCTGATGAAATAAGTTAAAATCAACAATAGTAAAAATAAGACTTTATACAGGGCATGGCCACACAGAGTAAACATGTTTTTTTAAGTTCCATTTATAACCGATTACAACAGTTTATTCTGAGATAGAGACAAAGAGACAGAGAGAGTTTAATTCAAAAACACATTTTTTTCTTTCAGGATCAGGTAGAAGCCTCCAATAATATGAGCAGAAGAAAGCTAATATGTAATGAAAGGCCAAAATGGGCAAACTGATATTAATCTAAATCTGGTTTTGGAAGTCTTGTTGTGTAAATATTTCTTCTTCTATGAACTCCCCACTTATAATAATTTCTTATTTCAGGTCCTCTCTCGTACCTACAATGCCGACCCTTGTGGACAGCGGTGACCTGCATGCAGTTTGCTCCGAGCTGCCTGCCATGTTTGATGGCATGAAGCTGGCAGCGGTGGCAGCGGCCCTGTACATCATCGTCCGCTGTCTGAACCTGAAGAGTCCCACATCTCCACCAGAGATCGTGTATCAGGACACAGCGCTCAGCCGCTACCTGCTCAAGTACTGCCCCATGCTGACCAAAGAGTGAGTGGTTACTTTATCAGAGTCTGGTTTAAAGTTTTAAAGACTTCTGATGCAACCTGGACTGAAAAAATGGAACTCAATCTCAACTGGATAGTTAACAATACAAGACCACTAGTTGACCTCTGGCTTACAACCACTAATAGGGAGCTCATGGTACTTAATATTGAGATTCTGACAACTGAAGGGATTCTGTTTGTGTCTCGGTTGGATTTCCATTGACTGTTATGAAATAAGATGATTCTGAGCTGAGCTTGATCTGGTTTCTTAGGTGTAGACTCAGCGACTGACTTAACATGACATTAATAACTCACACATGACCTGGACACTCAGACATGATCCTGCCTCTGACATAACGTCAGAGCACTGGACTGGGAGCTTGGGTAACCTCACTTCTTTCCAAATCCACACTGAATGAATCCTTCTGGATTCATTTCATTTCTTGTCTTTTGATCTGTCCTGAAGACAAACTTTTCTCTGCTCCTCTCGCACTCTCATGAGGGGTTGATCCATTTCAGTCAGTTAAATGACTCACGATGTCTGCATATTTGTCTGCCGCCTCCTATGGTTGGACTGGTATGTGTTGCTGTCAGTGGGCTGGTAAACATCTTTAAGGCAGATTACACAGCTGCTGCGTTGTATAATATGGTTGTCGTCCTCCTCTTCAGATACATTCCTCCCTTGCTGTGGGGGAAGAGTGGTCATCTCCAGACGGCCCTGTACGGCAAGATGGGACGTGTCAACACACCAACGCCCTGCGGGGTCCGCAAGTTCCTCCCGATGCAGGATGGAGCGACAGCGACTTTCGACCTCTTCGAAGCCCGAGGGGATCACAGCACAGGAGGTCAGAGGTCAAATACTAGTTCAAGCCCCAAAGCAGTCTGCTTAATATTTACTGTATGTTAATGACTTAGTCACACAACTGCTGATCTTATATATCTGACATAACACAATAATGATCAGTTTAACATCTTTGTGTTTTGTTTTCTGAGACTTATTTGGATCATGAGTCCTCAGCCTCAAGTAACAAGCAGCTCATACTACAGTATACACTCTAATGAACTCCCTCTTGGGAAAAACAACAGACACACAGGCGCACAATAACCACCCTTACACACATGACTCAATTTTTTTATGTTGTCTTTCAGGTGATGTTACCATGGTAATCTGCCCTGGGATCGGTAACCATAGCGAGAAGAACTACATTCGGACCTTTGTTGATCATTCCCAGCGGCAGGGTTATCGCTGTGCAGTCCTCAACCACCTGGGAGCGCTGCCCAACATGGAGCTCACGTCGCCGCGCATGTTCACTTACGGTAAAGAAGGAGCACTGCATGATTGCACCCTTTAGTCGGAAAAATTGTGTGCAAGTAATCTTCATTGTATTTTAGATTTTGGCTTTTTAAATTGAAATAAATAAATTGGAAACAACTTTATTTGTAAAAGATTTTTACTAACAGTCACCAAGTAATTTAACAAAAGACATGAAAGACAGAAATACAAATAGATAAATAAATGATTGTGTAGAGAAATTTCTAGGAAAAGGGAGTTGCAGAATACAATACAACATATTAATGATATTGATGTCAAACTGAAATAATAATCAGTACTGCTCAGTTGTAAAAGTGTCTGTCTTTCATTCAGGTTGCACCTGGGAGTTTGCAGCCATGGTGGCTTACATCAAACGGGCCTTCCCTGAGACGCACTTGGTGGTGGTGGGCTTCAGTCTTGGGGGGAACCTTGTCTGTAAATTCCTGGGTGAGAACCCATCCAACCAGGAGCGCGTGCTGTGCTGTGTCAGCGTGTGTCAGGGGTACAACGCCCTCAGGTTTGTTGACTGAAGGAAAAGTACAGAGCCATGAATGGATATGACTGAAAATGTATAGATAAGAATACCTGATTCTTCAGCCCTATTTCTAAAACACTTAATAATTGAATGTACTTTTTAATCAGAAAACGTTTTCACTGTGAAAGCACCAGTATAATAAGGGTGGTCTGTTTTTGTCCCATAGTGTATTTCTATGTGTGCATTGAAGAATTTCTGTTTTCAGGGCTCAGGAAACATTCTTTCAGTGGGACCAGTGCCGGAGGCTCTACAACTTTGTGTTGGCGGACAACATGAAGAAGCTCATCCTGTCACACAGGTGGAGAAACACAACATGTATTGATTTAGCAGATTGAACAGTTAAAGCTGCTGCACAAACAAATGTATAGTTTAGATTCAGTTGCGTTTGAAAAAAGCTGCAAACGAACCAATATCCAGTGGTTTAGGAAGTATTCAAACATTTTACTGAAGTGGAAGTACAAATATATAGATATAAAATGTTCTACTTGAGTAAACATAAACACTTGCAGTATAAAACATCAAAGTATTAAAAGTAAAAGTTTTTGCATAGTGTAACCTATTCACTTCAATATATGTAGTGGAGTAAAAGTGGGAAGTACCTGAAAATAAATCTACTTAAGTTAAGTACAGATACAAAAAACATGTACAGTAACAAGTGTACTTAAATAAGTAAATGTACTTTGTTACATCCCACCACTGCCATATCAAATTCAGGCAGTATATTCTTGACACTGACATCTGTCTACAGACAGAAATAAATTATTCTTCATCAGACAAGTGATAAATGTATAATGTAAAACTCTTGATTCCACTATCTTTGATGTTTGTGCTCTGCTATAAAAACCTTAATTGTTGTGTTTAACAGGAGCAGTTTGCTGGACTTGAGCTCCAGCTGCATTAGGGATGCAGACCTGATCAGACTGTGTGCAGCCACCTCTCTGATGCAGATAGATGACAGCATTATGAGGTGAAAGCTTCTTGGATTTTGATTTTAAGCTTTAATTGGGGCACCAAGAACTACTCCAAACTCTACAACTGATCTGTGTGTATTTTATACTGCAGAAAATTCCATGGATACAGCTCCTTGAAGGAGTACTACGAGAAGGAAAGCTGTGTTCACTACATCAACAAAGTAAGTGACTAGTGTTTGTATGTTAATTACTGAAACCTTGATGGATATAATGTTGTTCCTCGATCTCGCTAATGCATTTGGGTCAGTACCACATAGTGTCCTCTGGGTTGCTTTCCACTTCTTCAAAGCCCATCATAAATTTGATTATTTATACTTCGAATTCCGGAAGTCTTCGAGCTGCCTATTGCAAGTCCTTTAGAGGAATTTAAATGCACCAAAACAAGGCTGGAGATGACCCACTTAGAGTCCTGTGACAAATCTATACGGGCTGTTTGACCATCACTGACAAAAGGATGGAAATTGACACAAAAAGAAGCAACTAGACAAGCAAAAGCAGCACTCCAGCAGGCTGACATTGTGGGCCATGGTCAGAGTAGACCCCTGTGGAACAAGGCAACTCCTTAGAGCGGCGTGTTCTGGCGTCAGAAAGAGGCAGCAAGATGTGCAAAGGCCGTCACTCAGGCCAGACAGGGGCAGTGGATGAAATGGGAGAGCATAGAGAAAAGAAAGATCAGCTGGAAGGACCTGTGGGGAATGGAAGCAAGCAGGATTAGCTTCCTGCTTAGATCAACCTATGACGTACTTTCCTCACCCAAAAACCTGAAGCAGTGCCTGAAAGATCCATCCTGCCCACTATGCTCAACTCCAGCTACCATCAGGCACATCCTCACTGGTTGTAAAATAAGTCTCTCCCAAGGTAGGTTTACATGGAGACACAACCAGGTATTTAAATGCCTTACAGCAACTATTGAAACAAAAAAACTACTACCAATGCCTTGCCATCAAAAACACTAAACACTGTACAAAGGACAACATTTGTCCGAGAAGGTGAACAGGGACAGAGAGGGCCTCCTCCATCTGATCAAGAGTGGTCAGTTGGAGCGAGCCCGAAACTGGGAGATGTTGGTCGACGTGGGCTGACAGCTTACAGTCATATTGACAAAAAAATATACAAGGAAGTCAAGTTGTGCTTTTAGGGGAAGTTATGTTGTGTAACTGTTTCTTTGTAAAAACATTCTGTTGACTGGCAACCTCCTATTCCTATCCCTAAAACCACAAATTGTTGTTTTCACTTCACGGTTACTCAAAAAGGTTATTTTTAGTGAGGCACAGAGGAATGGTTGAGAACATATTTCTACTTTGGGCATAGCTGGGCTAGCTGTTCCCACCTGTTTATTTATGCTTGGCTAAGGTACTCCTCAGCCAGCTGCACATTGATCTCTCAGAAAGAAGGTGAATAAGCAGAATTCCCAAATGAATTTGAATACAAACATATGTGCAAATAATGTAACATATACAAATACTGCTTTTACTACTACCACTACTTCTACATATACTACCAATGCTGCTATAACTGCTACTACAGACACTGCTTCTACAACTTCTACACTGACCTAACAACCAATACACCATCTTCTGTGAATACCCCTACAATGCAGTAATGGTGTGTAACTAGGCCTTCCAATTTGAATTTTAAACAAACTGTTTTTGATCAGATTTTTTTCTGTCCAGGTCACTGTGCCTCTCCTCCTGGTTAACTCCTCAGACGACCCACTGATCCATCAGTCACTACTGGATATTCCTCGCACACTTGCAGGTTTGTGGTTAAGATTCATTCATCACTGGATGTTAATGGTACCTAATTAGAAAGTAAAGAAAATGAATGGTCTGAATAGTGAAAAAACATATTCACCTAATCCTTATGTCTAAGTCATTGTCATTTGTGCATAGTAACCATCATGTTGTGTTTTGGATCACCCAATTCCTCCCCTTGTAGAGGCCTACTGTGGTAGCTGCAGGTTAAATTCCAGGCCCTTCCAGGCTGTCAGAACCCGAATCAGCTTTATTGGCCATGTATGCATACACATACAAGGAATTTGACTCTGTTTTGTTTTCGTTGCTCTCAACGTACAGAAATAGACTAATAAACAAAAAAACAAGGACACAAAGCAGAAAAAGGTTAAGCACAAGGACGACAAAGCAGAACAAGGTTAAGCAAACATTTAACTACTATGTACAAGTATGAATACAAATATATATGAAAAAGTATATATATATATGAACATAAAACACAACAACAATGAAATAGAGAAATGGATGTCTTTTCCTAGTCTCTCCCACTATCACACCTAAATTCTGTACTATCAAAAAAGACCATAGTGCCTGAAAATATGTTTACAAAAAAAAGAAATGATTAGATTTAGTATAGCCAGGCAGACATACAGTATTTTCATATTTATATTTAGATATTGTATCATCAAATAAGTTTTTTAATATGTTTTTCAGTTACATTTTCAGTAGCCATTTGACCAGAAATGTGCTAAATAAGTGAAGTCCATTCACCATATGAAAGTGTTCTTCACATGTAATTATCAAACAGCATGAGTATGGTTAACTATGGTTGTGTTTTGTTTGTTTTGCCTGTTTTGTGTGTTTCCTAGAGAGCGATAACTACAAACAGTGAAACATTGTCCTCGCAGTGACATGAACGCAGACTAATGTGAAATGAATGATCCTGTTGTCCTTCGTTTAGAGCTAGACTCTGGAGCCAATGTCTTAAGTGTTGATAAAGTCTTGTTGGAGCTATCTACTCACCACGGGCCAGCCCAGACACTCTTGTTGAATTTTTCAGGGCTATGTGATCTGCTTAGGCTGCTGGATTATATATATAGAGCAGGGTGTGTGTGTGTGTGTGTGTGTGGCTGTCTTGTCTTGCAGGTCACATGCACTGACCCTGTGTGTGTAAATGAGTGGGTGTGATGACTGAGACCTGGACAAGTGAAATACTAAACTCGTCCTCTACTTTAAGGAAACGTGGTTACTCAGGATTCTAACATTTGCTCTGCTGCTCATTAACAATGTGTAATGTGTTAACAGACTGACGTCACAGATCCCAGTTACCCACTGAGGGAGACTCACTGACCATGACACACAGAGATGCTGGCTGTTTGTTATGGCTATCTCCCTTATCAGTGATGTCATGGCTGTCCTAGAAACGGTGTACTTTTGTTTTCAGTAAATGACATTTGAGTGTGACCTACGGAAACAGTATTGGACACACAAACCCCACTTGTCTTTTCTTAAATCTATAAAAAATTGATTTTAAAGATTTGTTTAGTGTTATCTGGAGGTTTGAGGCCATTGTGCAGGTTTGACTGGTTTTATTTTTAGTTCTGTAATATGTTGTTGAATGGGGGAGAACCTGTTCTGTGTGTGTTGGTGTCTATGTACATCTCAAAAAGAATAGGTCACAGAGAGTGTGACGATGGTGTAGAACAATATAAAGGGGAAGGAAGAGGACGAAAGCCTGTGGAGGCACAACCTTCACCACTGACCTCACAGTGAGTCACTGAGCCATTTTAATGATACCATCTCTTTCTAAGTAGAGGGAGAGTTTAATTATTTACCCTCACACCAACAAGATCAGGACGCCTTTAATTACCAAATGGCTGGAGATGCTTATCAAGGAAATCAAAGTGACACGACAAAGTGCGAAACGTTTTGAAATTCAGCTGAGTTTTAAATGATCTGTTTGGAGGATTTCCTTCTGGAAAATGTATCATCTGTAGAATGTATTGCTTCTACTCAAGCTTTTGATGAATCTCCACAAATTCAGTGACTATATAATCTGTGAAATGGTCTCAGGTCTCATTGAGAATTTACACTAATTTTGAAGCTCTCTGCAGCTCTTAGATCAGTGTTTTAGTTCTTTCTCTGTGTATAGACTTAGTATTTACCATTATCTGTTCATCAAGAGTTGATGAAATACAAACCTGAACTTACAGGAGAGTAAATATTGGACTTATACTGGACGCTTTTTCAACATTATCGTCATAAAAACTTGATAAACCAGTTCTATAGTGTGTCAGGGCTCTGTTTTTGTGTTTAGTGATTTTTTAAACTATTTTCACCCTTGTATGGTCAAAAATCCCACTCGGCTTTAAAGCAGCATTAATTGACATTTGGTTAGAACATTGCAAAGTTAGTGAATAGCTTTAATTGCTGCTTTAGAGCCACATAGTTTTCTTAAGAGTTTAACAAAGTAAATTACAACCTAGTGTTGGAGTTAAATTCATCAAGTGAAGCCAAACACAAACCCAGATGAATGCGAATCTGAACTGTTGCTGCCATCTAATCTAGTCAAAAATCAGTTATTGCATTTAAGTAAGACCCCCTAAAGGTTTGACCATACTTTCTGCATTCTGTGTCCGCTGAGAGAAAACAAGCATCTACGTTCTTTGTCTTTGTCGAAGAGCGTGACATGGACTGGAGAGTGTTGAGCAACAGAATATATTGTACCTGGAGCATGTGCAGTGGACACCTACAGTCAAAGTGGTCAAAAATTTTGGGTTGCACATCTATGTCTGTATATGGGTCAATGCGTACCCTCGCGGACATGGGTGGATGATGATATTTATGCGCGAGGATCATAGCGGACCTCAGTGGATGTGGAAACTATGAATTCGCCTTTACAAAATTAAATTACTCAATCGAATCATTGAACTGAAACAAAAGACATATGAACAAATGTTTTCCTTAGCTCTAATGGATAGATCAGGTCATCAGTGTTTTATTCAGTTGCTACAGAAAAGAACCAAAGTATCCCACCTGTGTCTGGTGTTTCAAAAGATGAAATGCTGGCACTAAATAAGGGGCCACCACAATTTATAAAGGAATCCTCTTACCTCTCCTTCTATCTGTTGTCCTCTCTAGAGAAGATGCCCAATGTGATATTCGCCCTGACCCAACATGGAGGCCACCTGGGTTTCTTCGAGGGAGCTGTGCTGTTTCCTCAGCCGCTCACTTGGATGGACAAGGTCATAGTGGAGTACACAGACGCCATCTGCCGCTGGGAGAAGAACAGGCCAGTCTGTCAGAGGAGCAGCCACCAGGACGTGAACCCCTGCCTGCAGAGCACAAGGGTAACCCTCAGTGGGTAACACATACTGTACATATACGTACTACTGGAGACAAAACAAAAGACCATAAGAGACGCACACACAACTGCTCTACTTTGATACTAATGGCCTTAACCTAGCTAGATTAACTAAGACAGGCTGAGTGGAAGTGAGTAAAACTAAATGAAAAGTAAAACATACAGATATAATAAGACCTTCGGGGGTAATATGTCCCCTGCTCTATAGCAACCATGATTTCTCTTTTTAACATGCTGATGGGAGGGGTAGTTCTTTCATTATTATGCACACAGTCTTGTACTTTTGCCTTTTTTCCGTTTTCCAAAGGGTTCTTTTCAGCATCAAGTTTTTTATGGTCACAATTAGTCTTGCAGCTGCTCGGCCTGGTTCCAGGCTTAAAACTTTTTTATAACGGTTTTCTGACACATCAATGGAGAAAATGAGTGGAACATTTACTCCTAGAGCCAGAACTGTTCTAAAAGTGGGCTGTCATTGTTCTATACTTGAGTATCCATCAGTCAGTTGACACACACTGCGAGAAAGTGTGTAGGACACACTGTTTTCGGCAACCAGTTTGAAGTCTTAAAATCTTAAGAAGAAGAATTTCAAATATACCTGATGCTCCACTCAGGTTTTAAAGCATATTACGGCTATTCAACAGATTTGAGTTTCAGCTTCTCGAATCTGATGAGCAGCAGTACAGCATGGTTTATTGTTTACAGTGGTGGTCGTAATGGTTGTTACGATTTTAATTTACTGAAGCTGCATCTGTTGTTTTATTGCAGCAAATAACTGTTAAACAATGGAGGGTTTGGTTTGTTTATTTGGTTTGAGGCTTCATTTTGTTCATTTTGACGCTGCTGACCAGTTTCTTTGTATTTTAATGGTATGTGACTGATCGTCAACCTGCATTCTTGCTCCTGACCTTCAGAATAAAATAATCACATCGGCTTTTAAAGATGTTACAAAAACTCAGTCAGAAGGACATTGTATTTGTATTTTTTAATGATTTGTGTAGTTGACTGGAAATATGGACCGTTAATACAAACTAGCTTTAGCATTGCACTCCAAACTGTGTAGTTCTCTGGGTCAGCTTGTCCCATTCAGTTTTTTCCCCACAAGCCCAACTACAGCTGTTTGGACCATTATGCCTTTTTTGGTTATTGCCACAAAAATGTGCTTTGACACGTCTACAAACCAGAGCAGGAGATTGTCAGAAAATATACTGAAGCAAACAGCTGCTGCGTCGAAGTGTGTTTACGAATAGTTAAACAGGAAGGAGAGAAAAGAGTGTGACTGGGACGTAAACAGCAAGTGTATAAAATTAAAAATCTAGCGTTTGATTCTCAGTTAACACACGTACACACAAACTAATGGACCAAAGCACTTTTGACTTTAAAATACAAAGCAGCTCAACTTTTCATTTTTAATGATGCTACTGCATTGCGGCAAAACATAACCAAGGGCAATATTTAAACCAAGGCTAACTACTAGTTTTAATAAGTGTCCAGTTTCCTGGGTTTGTATAAAGCTGCTTATTGCTGCATACAAGATGGATGGAGTTTATTACAGTGAATAGAGTGAAAACGTTTCTTTCATTTAAAACACAGAAAACTATTTACAGAATTTAGCTGTGGCTCATGATTTGGTACATTTCCATGTGAAATGTGTTGCTACAATGAGAGGTCAATCAAACAGCTCAGTAGAGCACGTACCTCCACCAAGGCCCAAAAGTTCCCTCTCTCATAGAGATCAGTTCCAGTTCCCAATGAGCCTGATTCTTTTCCATCAAGACCCATGATTTATTCCCTGACGACAACAACACAGCACATTATAGTGCTGTACTTGAAATTCCAGTGAGTTGAATCTGAGCTTCGTTGATATAAACTGTAATTTAAAGTAATTTCTGCCAAATTCCATGCAAATGGAAAAAATTAGCAATAAGACATTAAACAGCACTGCTTGATTGACGACCCGGAGCCATACTGCATTGCTGGCATCACTTTGTATAATTAGAACTCAGTAGAGTGACAGTCTTTAACAGTCTCTTTATGAAGCCACATTAAAATTCACTAATTCTAGATTTCTATTTGGATCTGCACAAAAGTGCTCACACTCCATCATTGTCTGAGAAAAGCAATGAAAATATTAACACAGGCCCGATGTTGCAATGTTAAAGAAAGTGAAAAAAAACTGGATCTGCACAAAACTTTCTCTACTGACCCGTACCACACCAATACATAAAGTTTAGTAGTAATCTGTTCTGTAGTTTTTATGTAATCATACTTACAAAATCAAACAAACAAACGGACAGGGGTAAAACAACCTCCCTGGTGGAGGTAATAACAGGTGAACTTTAGTTTCCGGTTTATTTTGGCCTCTTTCATCATGACTTTGAGAAGTGCCTATGGTTTGTGTTTGATGTTAAACTTAACTGAATCCTTTAACCTGCAGCAGCAGCACTCCTCTGTCTATATGTACAGTACAGTATGTACTCTTTTGCTTGCACTTTACTGTATGTACAGTTGTTGTACTGTATGACAATGTGTATCCTCATATGGGTGTAATATGAATGTGTTCTGCTGTGATGTGTTACACAGCCTTGTCTGATTTTTTTTATTTTAACACACCCATTTATTGATACTTTCCACAAACATTTACGTTTGTTTATTTGAACCTGATCTAGGTTTTTTAAATTGAATTTTAGATTGATACAAACACAACTTATATTTATATACAGTTTATTGTACATTTATTGACATTCTTATTGGTGCAAGGGGTAAACTTGATAATACTCATTGTGGAACAACCTAAAAAAACAATTGTTGGAATATCAGCTTTCAAGGAGAGACAGGGGGAGCGGAGAGTGGAAGCTGAGAAAATCTGGGGCCTGCCAGTGTCACAACAAGCTGTGTGGATGAGCTACAGTCTGAACAAAGCACAAATTCACAGGGGAGCAAGACACAGCGTCTCAGCCTGCTGTTCAGTGCTGATATAGAATAACAGATACAGAATATACAGAATACTGTAGAGTGGAGTAATGACTGAAGGGTGAGAGCAAGGGAGGCCGCCTTGTTCCTCTGCTCTTATGCTTTGTCAGGACCTCTAGCAAACAACATCACTCACACAATCATGACTTTCAATTTCATTCATATCTTTTTTTACTCTACAACCACACAGCTAGAATTTGAGTATCCACAGTCTATGGGAGTTTGCAATATCTTAATGATGGATGGAGGATGTTTAGTCAAACAGCTTGGCCGCTATGGCCTTGCCGTCGTACTTGGCGCCTTTTCCATCAAACTCAGACGGAAGGATATCCGCATCAAACTCCTTGTAGTAGTTTTCCAGCTCGTCTCCATGGACGAACACCTGAGGCAGGGACGACAATCTGTTAGTCATCTCAGACTGTGTAAATGTGTGAAAATGTATTTAATTTGATTTACTAACTATAAAATCGTGAGCTGGGACAAATCCAAAAACCCACTACAATTTTAAAGTGTTTTTTTTAGGTCTCATGATTATAAGAGTGCAGCCTCCAGACAGCTGTGCTAATAATGAAAAAATGCGACATTAATATTAAGCATGTGAAACTCCAGCAATAACAAGAAATGTCACATGAGAGATATTTGAACCGAACAAAAAGACACGATCCTCCAAACTGGAGTAAATGAAACCTGAAAACTCAGTGGTTCATAATGGTTTTTATCCTCTCACAAAGATTTCAAGGATTAGTACATTTATTTCCTGCTACAAAAGTAGAAACTGTTTTTCATGCTTTATAAACCAGTGGATTGCCCTGCAGTAATTCATTACTCTCTGGTACTGGTGGTAACATCTTCCCTGCCTCCAGCTCGTCCAAAACTATAACTCAGACTAAAATAGTGTGATAATATGTCAGCTATCAAATGTGCTTCTCTTCACTGGCTACCTGTTTCTTTGAGAGCTGATTTTAAGGTTGTATTAATTACATGCAAAGCCCAGAGAGGCAGAGCCCCATGTTATTCATCAGATTTGTTATTGATTTATGATGAAGCATTGCTTTTTGATTGTCATGGTTTTCATTGATGAATAAAGGTGACAGAGCCTTTTTTTCTGAGGAGATCAGATATGACTTGTATTTTAAATCACTGTTAAAGAAGAAAAACAACTGGCTTGTTTAAAATTGCTTTTTTCCCTTTTTTTGTGATTCACTTTGTAAGTGTTTTAAAAAAATGCGTTTATAATAAAATTATCATTATTATTGTTACAGTGTATTCCTTATTATCATTATTATTGTATCAACTTTGTAAGACTCACTCTCTCTAGCAGCTTGCTCTTCATGAGTGGTTTGACCACATTGTAGGTGGTGGTGAAGTACCAGGGCTGGTGGATGAAGTGCACAGCTTTGAAACGGGCAGGGAATGAATCCTGGTGGAAAAGAACATTAAGAAAGTTACATGATATATGTCTCAATCAGATTCTCTGTGATGAGGGGTCCTGCAGAAAGTTAAGAGACTTTCAGAGACTATAGATTTTCAGCTGTAGCTCTCTTATTGTCTGTAGTAACCAGTTATTTCAGGATAAAAAGGAGTTTTCCCACCTGCAACATATCCACCATCTTTTTGAGCTCGGTGGGTTTGATTCCTGACGCCTGCTGCATAGTGAAACCCTTGAAGTTCTCGATGATACAGAACCCATTGATCTGAGTCTCTTCGTTCTCCAGGAGCTTCTCCAGGATCACACAGTAGGCACGGAGGATCTGAAGTCACACAGACAGACATGCACCATGTTTGTTTGCTAAGTTAATTTAACCTGTTAACAGACATCCCCACTCTTGTACACAAGCTTACAAATAATAAATAAAATAAAATAAACTGTTCTTCAATACTATCGATTACAGTCTTGACCCTTGTCTCTTTTAAAAGGTAACTTCAAGTTGAACAAGCACAAACATGGTAGAGATCTAAAGGGTTTTTCATGTCAACTATTTGACTTTAGTGTATGTTCAAACACTGTCGAACAAAACATAATTTATCAAGGTTGTGTGATGATTCAGTCCGGTAAAGATTAAAACGTAGTCCCATTTTTAATATCATTCTGAAAGATGGGATGATATGGAAAACATCTATGGCGATATCAGATTTGTGCATCAAATAATTTTCAATTTTGCACCAATTTGAATGAAAAGTGAGTTTGGAAATATCCTTTTCCTTGTGCATTGTGGGTAAATGTGGTCACCAAGAACTTCTCACCTCATCGAAGGTGATCTCCTCGTAGTCCCAGTTCTCGATGTTGAAGAGCAAAACCACGCGGCCATACTTGTCTCTGCTCTGCAGGATGCCAGGGTAGCCGGCCTCGATGGTGCTGCGTACGGCCTCCGGGGTCAGATTCTCAAACAGCTCAGGGTAATCCTTCCTGAATCGCACGTAGCCTATAGAGACACAGAACCGGCTTCTGAGAATATGTGAGCTTTTTTTGTCATCACGTTCTATTTGGTCCTGTCGTCCACTGGCTATTAGAAAGAAGTTCTTCTTGCAGCTACAGTGTAAAATATTTGTTTTCATTTTGATTTAATTACACTTTTATATATTTATTTATTTATTTCCATTTAAAACTGAATTATAAAATATATTTTATTAATAAAAAGTTTGACCGGGTCACACTCAGCTGCACTCTGCTTTACTGCTCAGCAGCAGCAAATAGTAATGCAATAAAAACAATATAATCAGGCAGAGTTTCAGTGTCTCTTGATGCTGTAAATGCTGTTTCACCCAGGCAAAGACAAATATCTGGAAATAAGACTTCTCAGATTTTCTCACTATTAGAAACACGACTACAGTTGTTTTGACTGTCTGTTAGGCTTAGGCTGATTGGTAGAGCGGTTGTCCGCCAACCAGAAGGTCAGTGGTTTGATCCCAGTCTTTCCCATCTCCATGCCAAAGTGTCCTTGGGCAAGATACTGAACCATGAATTGCCCCTAATAGTTACTGGAAGTGGCTTTGGATAAAAGCGTCAGCTAAATGATATGTAATATGTAAAAAATGGTATTGAAAACATTTTCTTGATTTACCCTTCATGAGTTCAAAGGCTCTGGGCACGTCGTACTTCCTGGCGCGGATGAAGCGGACCAGCAAAGCGTCGGGTTTCTCCCCGAAGGTGTTCTGCACCCCCTTGGCCAGATCATCACCTGCATCCGCCTTTTCCTTTATAATTCCTCGCAGCTCCTTCACCGCAGACACTCGCTTCTCATCTGTCTCGTTCAGCTCATCCTTGGCCTGCAGGGGGAGCCGGACCAGATGGTTAGCTCACATTCTTTGTTCAGAGTTTTGGTTTTGTACACCACAGGGTCACAAAGGTACGTGAAGATTTCCCATTTAACACATTTTAGTTCATCAAAATCTGTTGTGAAGTGTTACATTTTGCTAAGGCCAAATTTGCTCTCTTGGCATAGCTAGTGGATTCTATTAGCAGACAGGTGATAAGCTAGCTGTGCTAACTGGCTAGTGTTTGTTCATTAGCTCACTTAAGTTAGCTGAATTATTGGCCTCTCCTCATGTTTGTAGTGTTTTATTTATTTTATGTTCATCTAAACATCTGTTATGACCAAGAGAAAGTACAACAGTAGGCTAGAGGAAGCTTACATGTTTCAAATGTCAACAACCCTGCATAACCATGGTGTCTTTAACACCCTGTGATTGCTTATATTAATGATTAGAAAATAATGAAGATGAACATAGTAAATGTAAAGTTTAATATATCATCAATAAAGAACTGTTAAAAGACCCTGCCAACACACAGGAGTAGTCAGGTATTCTGGCTAATTAGACCTCTCCGGGTTTCAAAAGCTAAGATACAAATTACGAGAACTAAATTTGAGAATTGATTGCATTGATGAAGGTGTAAGTCATACTTTCTTAACAGTTGCAGGTGAAATAAAAAGACAGTCAGTTATACCAACAGACTCCTAGAAGGAGGTCTAATCCATGCACACTCGTGTGCTACGAGTGTGCATGGAGCTGTAACTGTTCAATGTCCTGATGTCTGATGCAGTCCGTTGATGTCTCTGAATGTTTCTTTGTTTGCGTACCTTCTGCTTAGTGTGGTCTGGCAGACTGGCACAAGGTCCAAACACTGGCCCGTGGTCCTTGACGGTGAGACGTTCCAGCTTAGCCCTGAGAGCCTGCTCCTCCTCCGACACCATACGATAAGTTCCACTCTGAAGAGACAAGAGACAGCATTAATGCAAGGGACAACGTCTCATAGTCTGCACACACAAACGTTGTTGTGGAAATGTTGATATTTTATTTTTTTCAAGCAGGAAAAGCACTGGTTTAACTAATAATAATATGATGTGTCTAATAACATTAATTACCATTGATAACAGAACATATAACCTAACATTGTTCATATCATATACACATGATTCATTTGAGGAATCACATAATGGTTTTATTTATCTATTATAGCCCAAATCACAAATTCTTCTCAACAGGCTCGCCAATCTCTACAGCCACACCTCATATGTCCTCTTTCATCAAGCAGAACTTCTCATTAGTATCATGTTGTCTAAACCTAAGAAGATCTATACCTGAATCAAGTCTAGAAAGGTAAATAAA